ACGGAGCTTTCGTAAATGTAAAATCGACTGTAATCGTATGTGAGCGATTTTTCCTATTGTGATTTTTAAAAATATATCATTTTTATTTATTTTTTATCTTATCGTACACAGCGTAGTGTATTCATGAACGCAAATATCATTTAGTGAGCATGAGCAGCAATAAATGCGCGATTGAAAATAGAAGGTAAAATAACAACCGACTTTAAAATCGCAAATAGAACTAAAAGATAAATAATAATATCTGGTTCTGAGTTTTTGAAATAATGTTTTGTATATTTAAACAAATACCATATAGGGATATGCTAATATTTGAAAATATAAATCTTGCAAGTTTTTGACCCACTTACTTGTTACCGATTGAGCTGAAAGCATGCAAAACTTTCGGACGATCGGGCTCGCTTCATTCGTCTTGATAAGGACTCTGGTCCTAGAGAAAAAATATCTAGGGTCTGATGGTGGAACCGGATTCCGGTTCTGACCGGAAGGTGCCAATGGAAAACTGCATAAAATGGAGTAAGTGCCTTTATGAATTGTACCATTAAGGAAATACAATAATTCTTAAGGCTTCGTTGATTACGTTAAACATTACGCAAACACATTGAAAAAAGGTTTGTGCTACAGCTAAATCAAATTACATCTATCTATACTTATAATAAATCTGTAGAGAGGTCAATTCTGTACATGAAATATATTTTCAAAATAACTATCAGGGGGTGATTAGTGATCGATACTGATGCCAAAAATGCAACCAGTAAAGATTTTGTCTGTCTGTCTGTCTGTGTGTATGTTCCTTATAGAAACAAAAACTACTCGACGGATTTTAACGAAACTTGGTACAATTATTTTTCATACTCCTGGGCAGGTTATAGTATACTTTTCATCACGCTACAATCAATAGGAGCAGAGTAGTGAAGGGAAATGTTGGGAAAACGGGAGAAGTTACTCCATTTTTTCAGCTTCCATCGCGTGTGCAGCCTTAATGGTTAAAGTTACATAGAAATTATGTATGACGGAAATATTCTACATAAAATTGTCTAAAAAATATCCCGCAACAGCATATGTCTATCTTTTATGGTTGACTCACAATAACACGTGTAACTCCTGATAGCTTAGCAGTTCGGAGCATTCCGATTATATAACGTAAATATGAGAATTTTAGTTTGATTATTATAAATACAGGTAATAAAAATTACCTTTTTTATCTATATATGTATATAAAAGTCAAAGGGGACTGACTGACATAGTGATCTATCAACGCACAGCCCAAACCACTGGACGGATCGGGCTGAAATTTGGCATGCAGGTAGATGTTATGACGTAGGCATCCGCTAAGAAAGGATTTTGATCAATTCTACCCCCAAGGGGATAAAATAGGGAATGAAAGTTTGTATGAAACTTTGTCAATTTTAAACCAATCGGGCTGACACTTTGCATGCAGGTATAAGAAGAATCATAGATGAATGTCATTGTGTTTAATACAAGCCTGAGAAAAAAAACTATAGTGTTCAGCTCTACACCGAAGCGAAGCGAGGGCGGGCCGCTAGTTAAAAATAAAATCATGACTTCCACTAATAAAATTAGGACTTCTAATAATAAAATCAAAACTACTTAGAATGTTCTAAATTGTAAAACGAGTAAACACGTGATAACGGTATCTCATTTAAAATTGATAATATTGAAATAAAATCTAAAGAACAGGTTGCTAATATTTTTGATGATTACTTTGTTAATATACCACTTACTACAACTTCTAATTTGAATTCATCGCCGCGCCGGCGCCGGCGGCTGCTAAGACTGCTCGAGACGTGTGTGCCTGGGTGTGATGTCCCGTTTACGTTTAGACATGTTGAATTCATGGAAATTATCAAAAGTTTTAAATCACGTGTATATAAATACGTAATTTATGGGGAATATCTTTATACCTTGTTAATGGCATAATAACAGTCATTGCTATTATATTTAGTGAAGTTATACCTCTTTAAAAATCTGGAAATAGAGATGATTCCGGTAATTACAGACCTATATCAGTATTTTGGTTTCTTTTTCTATTTCTGTTTGATTATTAATATTAAACATTTCCAACACACACCAATAGCCTAGCACCACGCTATAACATTGCAATCGTTTGTAACTTTTTAAATATTATGTCGAAATGACATAGTATAAAAAGCAAAGTTTATCGTCTTTAATTATTATACGCAATAGAAGAACTACTTGTTTTGATAAAAAAATAATTCGTTAATACAAAATGTGCATTTTGGAAATGGATATCATATAATATTTTATTTTTATACGCTATTTTAGCAACAATGGCTTACACATGAAAAATAGTTAAATGCTGTCGTGGACTTTTTTGAAGTACTATTTAAGAGATACATTTACACTATACGATTTATTCATGTAACTCTCATTGTTTTTGCAGTGCAGGCCAAAATGGCTCACAGAACGGAGATTTTTTTCCGTCTTACTTGACAGTTATTGTTATATCTTGGCCAATTCACTCACTGGTGTCGATTCTGACATGATTCTCTAAACCTAATTTAAAAGTTGACAACAGTGTATCCATGTCATTCCCTATAAAGAATGAAAAGGAAAGACTTGTGTTAAATTTAGTTTTAAGTTTAAAAAATCATGCCAGACTCGACACCAATAACTACATAAACTATATGTTACTATCATGTATGAGCTATATTATTGTAAAGTTTTATTAAAATTATTTTTAGGTGAAAGAGTAACATAGATCCATACAAACGTAAGATTGAAATTTAAAGCGCAAGTGGTTAATATACAACTTTAAATCATTGTTGAACCTAAACAGTCATATAAAATGAAAAATGGTGTATGGAACCTAAACATGATTTTCCATTATCTAGACAATGATACCCCACTCGACATATTTTGTCAACTTATTTTTTTTACTTCGTCACAATATGGCGCCTAATTGTCCCCTTATTGAAATTTGATTACTATCATATCTTTAGTAGCACTCCCATAATAAGGACGAATCGATTGATATATGTATCATCAAAATCGGTCCACGCGTTTGGTCTGTAGTGTGCCACAAAGGAACATACATACTTATACATATAGACTTTAAACACTATACCCTGTCTGTGTGTCGCGCGTTGCGCTTCGCGCTCTTGCATGGATGGCGCAGTCGGGTAAAAACATGTATACACACAATACTGATAAAGAAGTTTCAATCATCTTTTCACATTATTATGAGTCACACATACACTTGTGTGAAAAGTTCTATGAGTTTTCCCCGAAAAATGCATTGTTTTTTGGATATTTCACCTTAAAACCTTCGGTTTTGGCGTTTGACGATGAAGAACCAACCCATAATTACTCTGTTAGTATTCAATGAAGTATTAATTTTTAAAGAAAATTTTGCTCCGAATGATTTTTACATAAAATACTTATTTTCGGAGTAATTCGTGAAAAACCATCTGAAAAAATGATTTTTTATTGAAAAATTAACTTTTCCACTCTTGAAAAAGTCAAAAAGTATTGACTTTCAGTAAAAACTTTAAAGACTAAAAGTTGTTTAGAATTACTCTGGTGTCGATTCTGGCAGGATTTTCTAAAGCTAAACTTAAATTTGACAACAGTGCATCCTTGTTATTCTCTATACAGAATGAAAAGGAGAGACTGATGTTAAATTTAATTTTAAGTTTAGAGAATCACTCCAGAATTGACACCTCTATCTATATATACATCCCCATACTTATTTACAATAAATAAAATATCAAGAAGCGTTGGCATCCAAGGAGAAATAGCAACACTCGGCACATTCACAAAAGGGTACCGGCTAAAGGACTGAGTATCCAAAGCCAGAATAAATTAAAAAATAACAAAAGGATTTGTATAGGGTTTTTCAACAAGAACTTTGTTTTTCAATTGTGGCTGCACCAACAATATGATAGTTTAGACATTAAGTTTTTTGACGTATTCGTAGTAGATGCATTGGCCTAATTATGCAAAATCCAATTAAAATCCACTATGAAAATAATGGTTCTGTTACAGTTACATTTTGTTAAATTCGTGATATTTTCGAACAACATAATAGTCCTTCTGAGACCGCTATTTACAATTTATTCGTTTTAAAATGGAGTCGACAGGCTCGATACACAATGTGCCAACTCCGACGCGTGTTCGACCGGGTCGTTCAACTGAAAGCATCGCAGCCGTGAGCCACAGTGTTGAAGCAGATCAATGTCAATTCCGCGACGTTCTCAACAATTGGGGTTATCCAAAACCACCACATGGCGAATTTTGGCCTATTATTGATGACGTGGATATCACCGATATGTGGTTTCAACAGGACGGCGCCACATGTCACACAGACAATGAAACGATCGCATAATTTCACTAAACTCAGCTGTTAAGTGGCCAGCCAGATCATGTGATTTAACACCACTAGATTATTTTTTGTGGGGCAATGTTGGTGGACTGAGTCTTTACGGGGCCAATTGAATCGATTGCAGTCAAAACTCAAAATCCATGATGTGATGTGATAACGACATAGTCCCGGCATTTTGCCAAACAGTGATTAAAAACTTTGATGAAAGAATCGACATCTGTCAGCGTGCTCGTGGTGGTGCCAGATATAATTTTTCATTCATAATTGCCGAACTTTTCTCTTTATAATTCAATAAAAAATTTAATCATCTTCATCTAAATTTTTTGTTTTATTTTGTTTTAGAAAACAAAGTTCTCGTTGAAAAACCATTAGAACCAACCCAAATCCAAATTATGGTGTTAATTGGTACTGTTTGGCAGAATTGTCAGGATTTCCCTTTTTTTCCGTGAACTGATTGGTCTTTTTTTAATCACATTTAATAGCTTCGTAAAAGTAATAAAATACAGATGTGTGTTCTCGCATAGGTTTCACTGTTTCTAAACGCAAACCTTCCTGTCAACGCAAATATTCTGACATCTGACATTGACATGACAGTCAAGTCAAACAATTTGTAGATTTGTAGGTTATTTTGGTGTGTGGAGTGTGGGATCTAAATGTTGGAATTCTTAATTATTATTTATATTTAATAGTATTATAGTTTAGTATACGTGTTGTTATTTACCTTAGGAATATACAGTACTTTATATTGATTGTTAAAAAATGGAGGACATCGAAGACACAGATTATGTTGCTTCAGAACATGATATTTTGGTGAAAGCTATATCAAAACTGGACAAAACTCAACACATCACGGAGCCAACTCGCAACGAACCTACTATTGATAACTCAGAATTCCACTTACACAAGAGGTCTAATGAATTAGACCTCAGCAATGTGGTTGAAGCTTTAGAAGGCACTGCTATTCATGTGAAAATAGGGAAAAAGTTAAAAAAGATTCAAAACAAATCACAAGTTTTGAAAAAGCCATTAGAGAAACCCCAGGCTGAGCGCATAAAAAGAGCCATAGGGTATGAAGAGAATAAAAAGAAAATTGGCAGGTGGGATCCTGTGGTGGCCCGTGCTCGCACTGTTGATTATGTTTCATTTCCTATAAAGCATGTGTCTAATAAGCTGCAGTCTACTGGAGAGTTCTTGTCAAAACTAAAGTTGAAATCTGCACTTGAAAAAGAATTAGATGAAGTGGACCCACCTGCAGAAGTCATGGAAGAAGACGAAGAAGAACAAACATATCCTATGTCATATGAAGAGATGATAGAACATAGGCAGCATTCAGCAAAGCTAAGAGCACAAGAATCATATAAAGCAGCAAAAGCTAAGAGACAAAGTAAAATAAAGAGTAAAAAGTATCATAGGTAAGAATTTTTAACTTGGTTTAACAATTATGTCTCTGGACCTGTCCTTGTAGCATGAGCGCGGCAATTTACATTGTATCACTGTTTAACCTTCAAACTCCATAGTAATTTGGAAATTGAGTGTGATAAAAATGTGTTTTATACCATATCGCGGTGCTCATGCTAGGGTTTCATAACAGGTTGTTTAAATGGTAAAAAATGCTTTTTTTATTGTGTAGTCAAAATTGTGTTGTATTCTACATTTCTGATTTACAAATAACAATAAAGTATAGGTAACGGCTATCTTCTTGAGTATTACAATATACAAATTCAATAATACACAAAAAAATCACAGTACTTGTTTTTGTATAAAAATTGCTACTGCCCAGTCTTTGTTGTTTATGGTTTTTTTGCTCAAGATGTTGGCTGTGATGTATACTTGTGTTATCATTTGAAAATCGAGTTATTCATGTGATGTTGCCTTATATATATTTTACCTCTTGTACCATCTGCAATAACCAAGAAGATACAATATTTTGATAAGTGTATTGGTTGTTGTTACCAAAAACACCATAAACACTTATCAAAATATTCTGCTGGCATGGTTCAAATAGTAACTGTTAACTATTTGTGTAAAATCATTGCTTTGACTATAATTATAATATATTTACTGATAAAAACAAATTCACATGATCTTATTATTATAAAATTGAAATAAGAAACTTCAATTCATGCAAAAACTTATGAATAATTTAATTGTTGTGAGTAAAATTCTATGATCTTAACATATTTGACAAATTTCTGTGTAATAGAAATGATTGTTTACTGTGTTGTAGCAAAATTAATATTATTAATAAAATAGGTATAGGAAATATTTAACATATATGTATATTTATTGGTTTGTTTTCTTCTATTTGGCATTGAGATTTCATACAGAAATACCACATTAAGATATGATTCAACTGTCCTTAATTATTGAAATTTCTTTATTTGATAATTTAATAACAATAACTTACTTTATTTTTCAGAATACTTAAGAAAGAAAAACTAAAGCAACAACTGAAAGAATTTGAGGACTTACAAAAGAAAAACCCTGAGGAGGCTTTACAGAAACTGGAGGCCTTGGAAAAAGCTAGAGCTTTAGAACGGCATACATTAAGGCACAAAAATACTGGAAAATGGGCCAAGAACCAGTTAATTCGAGCCAAGTATGATAAAGAGGTAAGAAAGAATTTTTCATATTAAGCCTACATTTGTATTTGGTATGTATGATGACTTCTGTGACCAGAGTGGTATGTAAACCACCAGGTTTCAAGGTGTTGCCTACTTTTTAAATTCCAGTAGGGTAAATGTTTGTATGATTAGTACAATTGCATTTGTACTTAAGTCATGGATAATTACTTGATATTTTCAAATATTAAGTAGTTAAATTGGGGGGCAAGGGGGCAGGGGTAGGGGGTCGAAGGTACCCCTCGCCCTCATCTCACACACACCGCGACATTGTGCTAACTCGTGTCAATGTGACATGACGTCTCACTTTCACATGCGTGCAGCCAGTGTGCATCGATTTATAATACATTATCACATCAAAAACGAAGTGTGCTTTTGCCATGCAGAGTGATTATTATCCAAGCTTCATACTCACAGCTGAGTGGATGTAACAACGAAGTAAGGGGATACTTGCACATGCACCCAGATGCAGTGTTAACTATGCTGTAGTGTAGAGTATATATTTTGGTGTGATGTATCGCATTTTTGTAACTCAAACCATTACACTTATGCATTACAAACTAACATGTTTGTCAGTCTTTGATTTGTGTTATACAAACTCGATACATTACACCAAACATTACTAGTCAGTCTCCAGCTTTACTTCAGTTTGTGATGTATCATTCAAGACGAGTGCCACATGCTCTACTTGACTGTTGGTTTTTTCGCACGTAGCTTCCAGAGTGTCTTCTTGTACACTGTCGATTTTCAAAATACCTAAGTAAAAATGAAATAGGGCAACTTAAAAACTCTTTTATAAGTTAACAAAAACAAATAAAACCAACAATTTTATAGGAATCTACTCATGCAAATAATTTAATGTTTTTTACAAATAACAATTCTTAGTTAAATTAATGAAGCACACAACCTCTGCATTTGACATCTGAGTAAAAATAGAGCACAGCTCCAAGATCTCCAATGGTACATTACAAATTCATGCTACAAGTAAGAACTGTATGGTAACAAGATTGCCTCAAATGATACATTACAAACAATGAAAAGTCTTCAGCTTAAAATAGGAAAGCTGGACTTCGTATTTAAGAATTATTGTATACTTAAATAGAAAACCCCGGTAACAACACGGAACCAATTAGTACGCTGTTGTCTATTCTTATGTCAGAGGACTATCTCTCAGAATGTGTATTTATTATTATTGGCGCTGAAACAATAAATAAAAATGGTAAAAAAATAGCTATTGTATTTTAATTTAAGTGTCAAGTTTTATACATTATATTTTATTTATATTTTGTATACAACAACATACCTACCTTTTACGGCTGTGTATTATATAGAAAATACAATTATTTATAGTATAATATTGTTTGTTTTCTCATATTTCTGCAATTCTTTTTTCATGTAACTTATTAATGCATTTACTGTCTACACAAATTATTTCATAAATATTCTTTTCAGGTACGACAGCAGATAGCTGAACAGTTAGCTGTAAGTAGAAGTTTGACACATAAAACACAAGACACAGAGAGTACTGATGACGAAGCTGACAACAATGAAGCAATACCAGATATAACGTTATCTCAAGACCCCATGAATCCTTGGATGTTGCAAAGGTCTGATAAATCTAATGTAGATGCTGAATTTGACTTTGGTTACAAGAAATATTTGAAAGATAAAATGTTCAAGAGAAAGGACAATGATAGTGAATCAGATTCCAATGATGAAGATGCGAACAAGATGGTTAGTGAAAAAATTAATTCTTTAAAAGAAAGTATAGCAAAATTGGCTACATCTGATATTGAAGGTTCTGCAGTTGAAGAGTTCATTGTTGACACAAATAAATTGAATAAAGAAATAGCTAATCTTAAAGCTTCTAATAATGCACTGGATAAAAAGAAAAAGAAAAAATCTATTGTTGCTACATCAAACTGGATAGTTGAAGAGGTTGGCAATAGCATAAGAAATGATATTACACAAGAAGTGTCTTCTGCGTTTGAAAACTTAGAAGACGATGTTGCAAACAAAGTTGAGCAAAAGCTAAAAATGCTGAGAGAGGATATTGAGCGCATAGGCAAATCAGAAAAGCCTTTTAAAAACACAAGAAGCAAAAAAGATACAGAAAAAGATATTGATAATCTCGAATACTTGAAATTGAAAAATCAAAAAACGAAAACCATAATTGATGAAGAATTATTAGAAACTAATAAATCAAAGAAAACGGAAGACTCGGACGTTATAAATTCTGCAGCTAAAATTATAGAAACTGCTCAGCATAACACACAAGACGGTGTTAGCACTGATATTGATCCAAATAGGTTTATTGAAGTGAAACCTAAATACCTTAACACTGCATTATCAAACTTAGATAATGACAATGATGAGTTGGATGATGATCAAGTTGTACCTAAAGTGAATATCGAAGAAGTATTTGAAGAAGATGATGTAGTTGCCAGTTTCCGACAAGAGAAAGAAGACGAAGCTAAAAAGGATCAACCCACTGATATTGACCTTAGCCTTCCGGGTTGGGGGAGTTGGGGTGGCAAAGGTGTTAAAGCTCCGAAAAGAAAAAGGAATAGATTTATTCTCAAAGCTCCGCCTAAAATGCCTCGACGAGACGAAAATAAAGGGGATGTTATTATAAAAGAGTATAAAGATCCAAAGATGGCTGTCCATAAAGTAACAGATGTGCCATTCCCTTTTACAAGTATTAAAGAGTATGAAGCTTCCATCAGAGCTCCTATTGGCAACACATTCATACCTGAAAGTGCACATAAGAAGTTAATTCGACCAAGTGTTATTACTAAGGCAGGCACAATAATTGAACCGATGGATGAAGAAGAACTACTGCTGCAGAAAAATAGGAATTTCAGTAACAATGATGTTCTAAGACTATTAGCAAAAAAATAAAAAAAAACTGTTTAATTGCCATTGTATACTTGTTTTATTTCTATATTTGTATCATTTCAAAGTGTTTGCAAATCTAGACCAGCTAAAATTAAATAGTAATAATTCTTATGGGTTTGATTTCACAATCTAAATAACTATGCACGATATGTTTTCGATATCGTAATATTACTTTAGCCGTTAGTAACTGAAATTAAACAGAAAATAATTTTACTTAATACTCATTGTTGCTTAATATAAGCGATAAGGGATCAATAGGTGACATGGTAACATATTTTTACCGAATAGATTTTTATTTTTTATCAATCATTAAATTACTTAGGTACGTCAAAATTTGTCAGTTACTTAAAACTTTTTCGAGTTTCTAAAAATAAGTAAGTAGTAATAGTGTATTTTCAATGTCACTGTTTTAATAAAAGAACAACATTATTTAGGTAGGTAAAAATAATATTAAAACCAGAAATGTCCAATTGGATTGCATCATCAAACAGTTAAGCATTAAGGTATATCTAAAAACATGGACACGAGTGCTAGATAAATTATACTTTATCTTATAAATAACACAGGAAGACATGCGTTTAAAAAATGATGCAATAACAAAAGATATGGCAGTCAGTTGTATTCAACTAACTAAAATGGTACGGACATTTCGTTTTGGGTTATGTACATACATATTTCCTCTGAGACTACCTGCTCCGAATTTAACTTTACAAGGAACGAATCGTCCTGAAACAAGGGGCGTTAAGTTTATACGTGTGTCTTCTCGTCTAAACGGCTGGAGCGATTTCAATAAAATTTGGTATGGAGTTAGCTGATATCCTGGATAAACACATAAGCTACGTTTTACTGCGGGAAAATACCCCTAATATACTGCGGATAACACCGCGGGACACAGCTAGCAAGTAATAAGAATTAAAATGTATTTCTTATTGAAATACAAAAAGCTCTTAATAATGCAAACTAAAGAAATGTTATTTCCGACTAACTGCTTTGACGCAATGTTCTTTAGCCGTCAACTTACAAGAACTAGCAGAAGGCAGGGAGCTAAATTAAAAGTGTCATCCTCGTGTCGTCCCCAGATTCATTTCCTTAGTAGTAATCTAGTGTTTGGTGATATTAATGAACATTCAAATTTTTAATCCGAAAATGTCATGCATTCAGATGAATCACAGTATTCGCAGTGTCTTCTTTTTTGCCCTTATGTGTCCCTTATTATAACAATGTGCTGATATCATGGCTGAAATCTGTACCTTTAAGGAAATAATATTTCTTTAGTTTGCAACAGCATCACCTGCATTATTAAAAGCTATTCGTATATCTGTAATAAATACATTTTTATTCTTATTACTTTCTAGCCGTGTCCCGCGGTACTCCTGGTTTATTAGGGATATTATCCCGCAGTAAAACGTAGCCTATGTGATAATCCAGGGTATCAGCTACTCCATACCAAATTTTATTAAAATCGCTCCAAACGTTTAGACGAGAAAACACACGAAAAACTTAACGCCCCATGTTTCAGGACGATTCGTTTCTTGTAAAGTTAAATTCGGAGCAAGTAGTCTCAGAGGAAATATGTATGTATATAGCCCAAAACGGCGTGTCAGCAAAGGGTACTCGATTTGAAAATGTTTAAGGGCTTTCTTGCGGGCCCAATCACAGATTACCTTACAGTTATTACGTAACCCATTCTAAATCTGTAAAATGTTTACAAATCAGTCCAGTAGTTTCGGACCCTATTCAATTAAACAAACAAACCTTTCCGCTTTATAATATTAGTATAGACATAGATGAAGATTCACTCGAGACCAATCATTTATCTATGAGTATAGATTTAAATTTAAGAAAGATAGGCATGTCAATTGGCGTGCTCGTACCATAACAATATCTTTTTGTCGTGTTGCATTTCTGTCAGGGCTCCACGGGGGTAGGGAATTGGGTCAGCGAAGGCAAAGGGCGTGAAATTTTCAGTACCTACTAAGCAAGTCTATAGGCGATGCGGCCACTTACTAAGTATAAGTAGAGTCACCCTTTCAACAAAAAAAAATCACAAAGTTAGGATGTGGTGATGGGATCCTGGAGAAATCGAGACTTCTTGTTTTTTTAGGATTCCTAGTCAAAAAGGACCCTTATAATTTTAATAAGCCCGTTTGTCCGTCCGTCCATAAGTTACCTCAAATAAATACCACCGTTTCTTTCTAGTACTAAGAGTGGATACTTTTAGTACTAGAAAGAAATGGTGGTTAATAATTGTCTAGTTTTAACTAACTCTATTCGCTCTCCACTTCATAGCTGAAGAAATGTAGGTATAAAAGGTGACATTAACTGAACTCTTTCGCAATTGCTAAATAAAATCGATCACGGGAGGCGAAATAGTTTTACACAAATATGGCCCAAGGCTCTGTTGACCGTAGGCACATAATTTGTGTTAGACCTAAGCCATTAATTACCCTCCACTATCGCTTATTAGCGGCATCGGACGTTGTTTGCGGTGGAATCTTCCCGCCCGGTGATAACCCGCGACCGGTGCGCGCGCACGCGTCGACGATCGTGGTTTTAAACGGACACCGCCAACGACCATCGATACTTTGTACGGAGAAACAAAAAAAGCACGCAATAGGTATAAACAAAGTAGCGAAGATAGCTCTCGAAAAATTTAATAATAACAATAACAAACTTTCTGATAGATAAGTATGAAATGAAACACGCACAAAAACCAATGTGAGTACCTATTTAAACAGGTACCTACTTAACAAAATAAAAGTGATGACATTGTTGTGTTTATTAGCTGCATGCTGTATAATACATATTTTGTTTATTTATTTATTAGCAGGCAATTCAAAAAATTACAAAATATGTATTAGATATACTGTGAAAAGAACTTGTTGAATTACACTGACAATGGTTACACGTCACGATGAAGTTTAAGATGATGCTTTGTGACTTACAGATTTCAGCCATGATATCAGCACATTGCACTTAAGAAATAAATCTGGATACGAGGGTGAAGCTTTTAATTTAGCTCCCTGCCTTGTGCTACTTCTTGTAAGTTGACGACTAAAGAACATTGCGTCAAAGTAATTAGTCGGAAATAACATTTCTTTAGTTCAGCATCACCTGCATTATTAAAAGCTTTTTGTGTTTTTTTCTCTATTTCTCTTTCTTTATTTCAATAAGAAATACATTTTTATTCTTATTACTTACTAGCTGTGTCCCGCGGTTTATTAAGGATATTTTCCCGCAGTAAAACGTAGCCTATGTGTTAATCCAGGGTAGCAGCTAACTCCATACCAAATTTTATTAAAATCGCTCCAGCCGTTTAGACGAGAAGAAGTAACAAACATACACACTCACTAACTTTCGCCTTTATAATATAAGTGTGATCTTATGCATTACAACTTATTGCAAAATTAACTGTTGCGTTTTGACGCCGAGGCGTTCAGTAGCCTCGGTATATTTTGGTTATTTTTGGCCTCGAGATAATGCGAACATAGGCGAAGGATATAGGCTCAATAATAAAGCGCCAATGCAAATGGATAAATTCAAACAAATAATGTTGTCATTGACCTGGGCAATACAAATCAGCGATCGTCTTAAATAGATGGCATTGCACAGAATCTACAAATGTTAATGTCACAAGGCTCGTATCGTTAATATAGTAATAGTTATCAGCTTAGTTTGTATAGTAACACTAAGGTCATAATTAAAATTAAAAAATGTAAGTGTATGTGTGCCTATTTTTTGTTGTATAGTAGGTATATGTATTATAGTTATTAATGTAGTTTAATTCCATGAGCTTTAGGAAGAGAATAAATCCAAAAATTAAGAACGGAGAATATCTCAAAAAACCATGCAATTTTAAAAGTATATAACTTTGACCCTTGTGGCAAGGAAGATAATATTAATTTCGATTATTAATTGTTATATCCAACTGACAAAAATTAATAGTTTTTGAAATATATTCATAGAAAAGTCGTGGATTTATTCCGTTCTTCAAATTTATCAAGTTGAATGTAGAGAAACTACTGAGAATAAAGATAAATGTGTATTTATTTATAATAAATATTTTGATAATCAGCTGCCAATCTATTCTTCATCATTATCAATCGCCTCTGTCGTTGTTGCAGGCCAAGTCAAAATTACATCATAAAATTCTTTAAATTATTCTGGAATGTATTGAGTTAATTTTTGCATGTCATTCATTTTCCTTACATTTATCGATATTTAGAAGCACATGCTTTAGCCACTGGTATTTTTGGGTTACCAGAGATTTTCTCAAGCAAAAACGTAGTTTTCATAAAGCCGTCTATAAGCTCAGAACACAACTAGGTATCCCTTATGACTTGCAAATCTTAAGTCATAGCACCAAGTCTGTTCTACAGTACAGCTACTGTTCTCAAAGCTATATTTTGAGATCTCGAATGTTCTTTTCTAGTCTAATAATTTGCGAGTTTTTTTGAACAATCTTTGCCATGTCTGCTTAAAATCAAGTATGTTTTCTGACGTAATGGGTTTGATGAAAAATTCTCTAGTTTTTGCTGCTGTTAAAAGATTATTATACTATGTTAATTCTGGGTTTAATCCTGATGAGCCTTTTTGCTGTCCCTTAAATATGGATATATCTTTTCGAAACGAGCCATTGTAATAAGGGTGAGCAATAATCTTATAAGTATGTTATTTTACTTTTGACACGTACAAGCATCATTAAAAAGGGAAGGATCCATATTTTCTATTGTTTTTCATATATTTTTATATACGCATATTTCAAGACAAATGCACTATTTTAAAGTTATTTCTATTTGAATATTTATCAGATAAATGTGAAATTTATTACCATGGAAGAAGGCGAGTTAGTTGGAAGACCGTTTTTTCGATCATATGAAACTATATGAAGTTAAAGTGATTTATTCCTGTCTTCTAACGCACGCGATACGGTTACGTATAAAGTACACAACGACACGTAAAAATGAATTTGGGAAAAATGGTGTTTATTCCCTTCTTCCAATTGGTGGTTCAATTATGATCTTTCTCAAAGAAGCTTGTCAAAATAATGCTCAAATTTCCAAGTATATTTGAGAAAACTTATTATATTAATAGGTCATTGCTATGTATGTACCAATAAAACAATAAATTACATCATCAATCTATATTCCATCACGTTAAATGACCTTATATCTAGCCTTGTTTATCATGTGGTGAGCGGAAGTCTGCAGCTTAAGTAGTTCCTCCTTGATGAGTCTAGTGATTTCCGACTTGGCTTTCGCTACGGCCAGTTCTTGAGAACTCTCTATGGCTAAGTACAGCTTTCTTTCGCCTTCTGGAGGGGTCTTGCCTGGAGGAACGTACGTTCCGCGGACAGTGATGCCCGCTTCACTGTATTCACTGATAAGCGCCAAGGCCTCCTGTAATAAAAGAATAAATCAATACAGTAATAGCGCCCTAAAAACTGGTGTTGCAAATCACGTGACCCCATCGGAAGGCCAAGTTTAAAAGGAGTCCAAAGCGTAGAGAACAGATAAAAGGGGTCTTCAAGAACATCCTATTGTGGAGTTTGGAAAAATTGCGTTTATAACAGAGTGCCACTAATATGAAATCTGCGTTGATCTGACGTTGAAGAGTAATTTTGTGTCATTACAATTGAATTAATTTAGAAAATCAGTGCAACCGATATTATACCACTTTTAGCACAGTAGGTAACGATATAATTTATATATTAAACACAATGTGACATCAAAAAGTGGGATAGTTTTTTTTTAATGGTATATCCTCTAAAACCTATCAAAGTTTAATCAAAACAATTACCCACAAAATTAATAAGTACATACACGATATTACCTGGAATATAAGGTTTTTAATGACAGTAGAAGCATCGCCTATTTCTCTTCAGCATTTTAACGCAGAAGAATATTAGAGCACCGATTAAAGCTAATTTCAGCAACATTGTGAACTGTCTGTCTCATTCGAATATACAATATGCACTGAAGATATATATTCTCAGTCTGCACTGCACATTATATTCCAGCAAGGGTTATCGTTAAGGGCGTACGTGACTTCATAATGCTCAAATATAAATCTCTCTCACATTCAAAAGAATAACAAAGTAATTGATGTCAAATGCCGTCGACTCCTTTACGATGTGCGAATTGAGAAAAAACTAAATAAACGATCAATATTAGCGCAATCTATTTTCTTTGTATTGATTGAATACTGACGCTGGCGGATGGAAACTTTTAATGTCACAGATCAACATGTTTACAACATGACATCAATAACTGTATGCAGGACGGCATACCGACGACTTGACACTTATGACCCAACGCGGCTTGCCCGGGGTTGCTGCGATAAATCAGTGTTGATATTTTGACTAATTTATAGGGCCTATTTATAGTTGAAGTTCAGACATTGAAAGTAGGTACCTCTTTATCAGTACGACATCGATGGCTATAATAATAATAGTTTACTAAACCATTCTTTTTTATAGCGAGGTAGGCAAATGACTCTACCCTACCTGATGTTAAGCGGTGATAAAGTCCAAACGCGAAGATAGCTGGTACAGCAGTTATAAACTGCTACACCAACTATCCTCAATTGCCGGCCTGCAAAAATGCTTCTTCACGCCTTTATAGGAAGGAGGGAACGCGTGTGTAAAGTTACGAATAATACGACAAAGAAATGAGTCACCAAATTTACCAATACTGGAAAGGGTTTAGGATACGATTATGGTAAATTTTAATGACTAGTTTATCAATACAATATTAAATAGGGAAGATGAAGAAAAATAACAGAAATATCGAGACGTAACGCACGCAACTCGTGTAAATGACGGATATACTGTAATGAAAAGAAATGATAGGCACGCGATTGTTCTAATAAATAACAATTTATTTTCTGAAATATTGTGTACATTCCATATTGAAAACGCCATTTTTTGATCATGTGTAAGAATTCTTTCTAAAACATTTTATGAATGTAGGAACTGATCAATTTGACAAATGAAAGACTGCAAATATCTGTAGCAGCAAAAGAGGAAGTCATATTGAGCGTGGACCCTAAATAAAATGGAATCAGAACACTTATAATGATGACATTTATTTATTAGTATGATAAATAATGAGCACAGTACTTTTCTCTTAATCACACCGAATCTTATTAATAAAAAAAGTATTCTTTCTATAAAAAAGAAATGCGCTGATGAGATGAAGAGAAACATTAAAAGGGGGTGTTTGGGACAGAATTAAAATTAGCAAGCTCACTTTCCAAATGTTTGAAAATTTGTGATTTGCTAGTGACTCTCCATCATGTTTGTTGTAGGAAACCGTTGATCTCGAGTTCGGTCTCGTATTTTCGGAACACCTCCTCGGTGGGCTGCAAGGCGCTTTCAACACGCTAATGGTACTTGTTTAACCGTTTAAAATCAACATGATGGTGATATTTGTAGGACTTACCTTGCTGGTGACTCTCCATGGTGCTTGTTGTGGAAAGTCGTTGATCTCGAGTTCGGTCTCGTATTTTCGGTACATCACCTCAGTGAGCTCGAATGAATTTTCATCAAGCTAATGGTACCTGTTTAGCCGCTTATAATCAACACGATGATGATATTTGAAGGATTTACCTTGTTCGTGACTCTCCATCGTGCTAGTTGCGGGTAATCGTAGATATCGGGTACGGTCTCGTATCTTCGGAGCACCTCATCAGCGAGCTCAAACGCATTTTCAGCGCGCTAATGGTACCTGTTTAACCGCTTATAATCAACACGATGATGATATTTGAAGGACTTACCTTGCTAGTGACTCTCCATCGTGCTTGTTGCGGGAAATCGTTGATCTCGAGTTCAGTTTCGTATTTTCTGAACACCTCCTCAGCGGGCTCGGAGGCGCTTTCGTCGCGCGGTTGATAGTTCAGACGCGTATTCAACTTCGCCGCTAACTGTTCAGCTACGGTTTTCGCCTGTGACAATGATTTTAAATACAATATACCACACTTTGTATTTGTGCAATAAAAATGCAATTTGGTCTTTATAATTAGGTTACTATTGTTTTAACGGGCAAATTTAGCGTTACAATAGTGCCGCCTTTCAAGTAGTTGTGTGATCTAAACTGCAATATAGTTTCTTTATCTAGAACAGTAAGGATGCGTTTATTAAAGGGAAAGTTCAACGAGTTTCATTTAAAACTATCTTGTGGCAACTAGGAACGAACAATAACATTAAAGGCTTATAAAAAAAATGGTTGCCTGTAAAGTCGGTTTTACGGGCGAAGATTTTACGTGACAACGTCTTTTTCTCGGTAGAATATTTATTGATATGAATATAATTAAATTGCACAATAGGAACAAAGAATTGAATGAAAATAAGAATTGCACAAATTTTAACTATACAAATATATTTTGTTTACTAAAACATTGTACATGTAAACTTAAACTTAACACGAGAGACTCATCGTAACGTTACCGAGCGTTACACTTTTTCATAAGTGACTCCCAGCCGCAACCTAATTTAAGACGTTGTCACGTCAAAACTTTAGGCCTCTAATAATAAACAACCGGAGACAGAGCTAGTTCGATAAAATCATATCACACCGGCTCAGCGTGTCTGGTAAAAATACGGCCGTCAACAAATGGCCTTACGATGCGATGATTGCGGCACTTTGACAACGTGTCTATTTATATCCTACTCCATTTACAATAGGATTTTTTGGCACCAAACCTAGTTCGGTTTGGTACTACCTTCTGTGACGGTTGTAAGAGATTAAAAAAAGTTATCAATACTTGATGGATTTAAAGTTTTAATAAGGAGGAACCTGCTGCAAACATGCAAAAGTTAAAAGCACAATTAATTGTCCGCAATTATATGGACATTGTCAATCTCCACCGGATGTCCAGCAAATTTTAGCTATCTACTTGCAACTTTTCAGCCGGCAAGTTTCCTCTTAGGGTGAAGCCAAAGGAGCGTAATTTTGTGAGTTGTGAGTCGCTTATTTTCGGTCACTTATTTTACGTTCAACTGAATTTCTGTTGAGCTGCCATACGAACGTAATTTATTCAGTTACTATCGAGCGTTAGTACGGGGTGTTCGTGTCGTCGAGTGCAATGGATCCATTAAAAATATTGTGTATTTACGAAGCATATTCAGAAGATGAGGGCAGAAAAAGAAACTGAGTAAACCCACTGAATAGTCAGAGGCTTATGTGGACAGTTCCATACTTTATATGAACGTTTATGTGCAAATCCAGATATGTTTAAAAAGTACTATCATATGCTATTACGTGTTTTTCAAGAATTATTACACCACGCAACTTGTAACAAACTGTTGCTTCCCCACTCCCCTTCCTTGCCCTACCCTCACCCCGACCGAAATTCGGACGAGCTTATGCGCATTGAGTCGGCAGACAACTCATTTTGCGTTGTCGTGTGGCACCAACTGCCTTTTTGTATGAAACCGAATGCAGCAGAATTTCTGCGACCGAAATTCTGCGACTCACCACTCACAAAATTACGCTCGTTTGGCCTCACCCTTACCGTGATCAATGTGTGTGCGGAAGGCGCGCCCTTCAGAATAGCTTCGGCGGCTTGTTGCGTGGCTCCTTTCTGTTCCGCGCCCAGTCCTTTAGCGAGATTGATCCTTGAAGCTAATCTTTTAGCCAGTTCTAGCTTGCCGTCAGTTCCGGCTGTGGTGGCGCCTGCGGCCGGAATACCGGGAGTCGCTACGCCCGGCTATAAACAAATATTACACAATTACCATTAAAGATTATGGATCACTTACACCAATAAGAACCAAAAAGTCAAATAGAGATAGAACGACGCTTAAACATGATTATCTTTCGTCATTGGATACACAGGATTAGCGCAATGACTTCCACACGTTAGTTTACCCAATACCCAAAGTTCAGAGGTCTTGAAGGCCAAGGTAAAGAGAAATTTAAAGATATATTTGTAGTCTATAGAGGTGCTCGATGGCGCAAGTGGTTAGCACGTTCGGCTGCGATCGTTTAAGTTAAGCAACTTTCACAGTGGTCGGTATTTGCTTTACTATCTCGAGCTCCTCCGTGCTTCGGAAGGTAAGTTAATGCGGTGGTCCCGGCTGAATCTGCAGTGGTCAGCACCCACCAATCCGCACTGGATCCGCGTGGTGGGTCATGGTCCAATCTCCCTATTTCATCTACAGGGAAGGCCTGTGCCGCAGTGGGGACATTAATAGGCTGATGATGATATTTGTCATCATGTTTCCTTGAGCTGAAATTGACAAGCAAACGCTAGTAAAATTACAATAAAGTTATAGTGGGTTGCAATTGTACTCAAAGGCTCATAAGGAGCAAGGTATAAATAGGGATGCAAAGTCTTTTGAAATATCGATATTTATATCGAAGTCAGGAAATATCGATATCCGATATATCGACCATTTTAACTCGATATTATCGATATTTTTTCCTTTTTATTTTTTATTGACATTAGAATACGGGGTGAGTGTGACACATTCATATGTTTGTTGGCGAGTTTCTCGCAAAATGCATTGAGGCAGCTTTTTCGTTAAACAAGCTTGATGAAATCGCGCCAAGCAGGATTTTTTTTATTGGCTCGCACGGTTTGTGTTTCATCCAGGACAGGTAACCAAAAAAATAAAATTATTATCCTGATCAGATCACTCACATTCGTTAGCACGAATGCGCCAACCCGCATATGTGGGACGACATTTGCGAATGCCTTCGCTAAGTTTTCACTACATTCGTGCTTTTCCAAGCTATGTCGGTTTTTTTAGCGCACATCAAATACGCAAATTGCTTAGTCTCCTACACATCAGGGGCGTGCCCATGGCTTCAGAATAGGGTAAGCCCAAAGCTTCCAAAATTACTATACCTATCTTACTTTCTTGACTTGGCGAGCTTAAAAAATTTACGATTTGAATAAGATTCTTAATTATATTTCGTGTTATATTACAATGATATTAAATTTTAATTAATCAGTAGTTGACAATTATCTAGAAAGAGAGGCAAGGATTTTATTTAAGTGCATGAGTTACCATTAGGTATACGATTATACCTATATACGTTGGTGTCCATTCTGGCATGATTATCTAATCTTAAAACTAAATTTAACATCAGTCTCTCCTTTTCATTCTGTATAGAGAATGACAAGGATACACTGTTGTCATTGTTTAATTTTAGGTTTAGAGGATCATGCCAGAATCCACACCAGTTTAGTATATTTCTTGGGGTTCAAGATTTTTTTAATACATCTATAAGCTCTTGCGATTTCAAAGCAATAGTTATTTCAATATTATTTAATTTAGATAGTCATAGCAGGTAAATTAATTGATACTATTGTGTTAAAATTTAGTCTACGAAATATCGATATTTTGGAATTTCCGATATCGATATTATCGATGTTATCGATATTCCGATATATCGTTGCAACCCTAGGTATAAAATATGTAGTATATTTCTATTCTGCCACGTTTTGTACTCTTTGAGTATGTACAAAAACAATAATTAAATAGTTACTGAAAGTATAGTGGCCATTTTTACCTTTGCGCAGTTAAATTAGCTACCGGCGCATTCTACGTTTATCCTCCTTTCCTATACTGAATTCCAGATAACATTAAAAAAAGAAGCTGAAAGAAGCAGTGTTTTAAAACTTTTTAATGTCATGTATAATGATGAAATATGATAAGCATATTTTATGCATAAATTTGAAAAATCTTTATTAAGCATTTATTACCACAATGAACTGAAAATGTGCACCTATAAACGAACCATTTTTACTTATTTTAATGTTATCTGGAATAAAGTGTAGTGTAGCATAGGAAACTTCGAACAAGTTCATAAGAACTCATTAATTTAAAATAAATTATCGACATCACCAACAATAATAACAATCATTGTAATCCTTCAATCCACGCGTCGACAATTACAAACCGACGCATGAGCAATAGCGAAAGGTCAATTTAATATTATTGTGGTCAATTTATTATCATTGTTCTTAGTATTTTTATTATGAACAATAACACTGATATACCTAATGACATAAGGTTATCTTAAACTTTAATCTTTAATTTATCAATCCGCAAATTGTTATCAAAGTGTATTTTACGATATAAAATCGGTGCACTTGTATGCTTTGGTGTACTATAGGCACACTGAAACATCAATGAAACTAAATGATATAGATTTGTGATCAGGTCAATTTGTTAAATTGTGATAATTTATTGTATCAAGTTGTTTATTAACTTAATTGTGATTGTTGTGTATGCTTATAATTGGCCAGCATATTAGAAAATTGTACAGTATCTTTTTCAATCATTTATATATGTGTCATGCCTAAATAAATCATTTACTACCTCACGTGTAGTCTCTATCTATTGTTTTATAGAGAATGTGTCAGCACCAACTTTAATCAAAATTAGAAGATAATTGTCGTCTCCGAGTGTATGGAATGTGTATGAAATGGTAAGAGTATACCTAAAGGAACACGTATGGAAAGAAAGAAATCGGAGTAAACCAGAACTCCCAAGATGCTAGCCTCAATGCACCAATGTGAAATGGCTTCATAGCTATGTCCTAATGTATAGTATGATACCATAACTCCACACACAACAATACAGCAGCATCAGCATGAATAGGCTCCTAAATTATTGTTATACGAAAACAACTGTTATTGCAATGTATTAAGGTGGTAATAAAGTTATTCCCAATTTTTTCATAGTAACTTTAAATTCTACTAATATTATAAATGTGAAAGTTTGTATGTCTGTACCTCAATTACGCAAAAATGGCTTAACGGATCTGGGTGAAATTTGGCACATATATTTAATCCCTGGAATTAGACATTGGATATTTTTATTCCGGAACATTTTTAGGACTGAGGGATTCTTATGAAGTGAAAGTTAGCGTGGACGCTAGTGTAAATAATATTTTTTACCTTGATTTCCTTGACAATTTTCTTGGCAGCAAGCATGGTTTCGATCTGCTGGTCGAGGTCGCCCTCAACGTCCTCGTCATCGGAGTCCTGGAGTCCGAGCGCCGCCTTCTGGTATTTCTTCTTTTCGGTGGCCGCTTGTGCTTCGGATTCGTCGAATTTGAACCCTGTTGACAATTCAATATTCAATTAAGAGCGGACGCGAGCTGACATTTGAGAAATAGGTATTTGAATAAACTATTACTGTCGCACATTGGCAAATACCGTGCGATAGGGACAACAGTAGCTTACGCCGGAAACTGTGTATAAAAATTGCAAAATTCGAAGTTTGGCTATCGACGGTTTCCTCCTTGCAAATTAGATATATGTAAAAGAAATTTCACCCATAGAATAATAAAATTAGTAGTTATACTAAGCGTCTATGTTTTGCTTTTTTTGTAAATGCTAATTAAATCTCCACACTAGACGTGATAAAAAACTGATTTTTTTTTGTAATTTTTGAGGGCTTCTAATTACTTTGAAACTCGTGTTATCGAAAATAGAAAGACATAGGAGCATAGAATGCAATTAATAGGCAATTTTTACAGCCGTATAAGTACTGTAGTTATTACTGTATTATCATCATTAGCCTATAGATGACACTCTTGGGCATAGGTCTATTATTATAAGATGGAAGAGGGATAATGGGCTATGAGCTATTACGTGGGCCTAGTGCAGATTGATGACTGCTAACTCCCTTATTTCAGTGTTAGGAATCTGTTATTCTGTTGAATCGTTACGAGTGGCGTTGACTAGTTCCTCGCATTTACACCTAAGCTAGAAGGAGCAAATTCATCCCTTCGAACATTAAGAAAATCTCTGCTTAATTTGTTTATTAGCTCACTGGTTTAGGTCAACTGTAAGTCAGTATGTTTTAAATTCTCATTTATTTTACGCAAAATTATTTTAACTTGTTAGTTTTAGTTCTCATTCCGCTTTCCATACTAATCTAATTCTTTCTTGCCCGGGAATATGTACGAGCAAGCGCATACATTGCCGACGCAGCATTTCTTTATTGACCTAATTTACCAAAATTGATAATTAGTTTATATCGTTCAGTTCGCATTCCGTCATCAAGCATACCACGCGTTCTCATTAATTTAATCAGTTTATATTTATCAAATATACTCTAGTTTCAAAGTTATTTAGTTTTATTTATTTATCAGTTTTTATGTTACGGACTCCCGCTCCTCTTAATGCAGAATGCTACTTACCATTCCAGCTGATCCCACTCTGTGTGTTAACTTTGCTCTCCTTCACCCGCGCATCCCTTCATGGTTGTTTTATAGTTTCCTATATTTAACAATAGAGCCACTGGTTATTCTTACCACAGCCATATTCTACTCACCCTTTCCACTGAAGCCGCCGAAGTATCGTCAAAGTTTTTTGAAGTATCGTCAGAAGGAGCCAGTTTCTTCTGGCGTCTGGTAGGGTCGCTGCTTAGTTTTCATAGAAAGATAATGATACGATTACAGAGCTGTCATAATTCGTGCTTGGACATCAGAGTAAAACTCTGTCATGCTCAAAAGATTTTAAAGCTGTCTCTATACCAGTCTTTGTGGTTACAAACAAAGTACTCCGCTCAACTTTCTCGCTGGTTTTCACAGCATTCTTCGTATCTGTCTCCGGTCATAATCAAAGTTACCACTCACCCTTCCCACTGAAGCCCCTGTTCCGGCGTGAGGAACGCCCAAGCGACATCTTATAGCGTCGACGCTCAGGTAAGCCGATGGCGTTTACACTCTCTTACCCTGTCACTACTTTCTTAGTCTTCAAAGCCAGGTAGCGCAAATTCGATCCTTCAAAAATGAATACGACCCTGCTAGTAATTTAGACAGAATGCCACTCATCCTTCCCCCCAAAACCACCACTTGTGTATCTTCTTATGCATCTCCTTGTTTTTGTTCCAGCTATATACGATCTAGAAAATCTGTCAAGCTCAAACGATTTTAAAGCGGTCCCTATACCTCTCTCTGGTTCAAAGTTATCACTCACCCTTCCCGCTGAAGCCGCCCCCCGTGTGCACCTTCTTGCCCTCCTTCTCCTGCGCGTCCTTGTACTTGTCCCACAGCGACGGCGCCGGCCAGTTCCAACGCGCGCAATACGTCGCCCGCGTACCGCCCCTGTTCCGGCGTGAGAAACGTCCAAGCGTTACCTTTGTTGCCAGCGCGGTTGATCCTACCGCATCTATCGTGTCGACGCTGGGATTTGATCACTTCTCTCCTAGTCTTTCAAGCCAGAAGGCACAAATTCAATTCCCACTCACCATTCCCCCTAAACCCACCACTTTGTGTGTATCTTCTTCTGCATCTCGGTTTTTTTTCAGCTTTATGGGATCAGAAACCCAAGCACGAATTTTGAAAGCTCCGTACTAGTATCGTCAAATTTTGTGTAGAAGGACCAGTTTGTTCTGAAGTCTGGCGCCTCTGCGCTGCTTAATTTTCATAGAAACTTTGACGAACTAAGTACTCCGCTCACCCTTTTCGCTAGTTTTCACAACATTCTATGTATATGTCTCCGTTCATAATCAAAGTTACCACTCACCCTTCCCGCTGAAACCGCCCCCCGTGTGCACCTTCTTGCCCTCCTTCTCCTGCGCGTCCTTGTACTTGTCCCACAGCTGGCGCAGCTCGGGCGGGGCGACGGCGCCGGCCAGTTCGAACGCGCGCAACACGTCGCCCGCGTACCGCCCCTGTTCCGGCGTGAGGAACGTCCAAGCGAAACCTTATAGCGTCAACGCTCAGGTGGGCCGATGGCGTTTACACTCTCTTACCCTGTCACTACTCTCTTAGTCTTCCAAGCCAGAAAGAGCAAATTCAATCCTTCAAGAATGAATACGACCCTGCTAGTAAGTTAGACAGAAAGCCACTCATCCTTCCCCCTAAAACCACCACTTGTGTGTATCTTCTTCTGCCTCTCCTTGTTTTTGTTCCAGCTATACAGGATCTAAAAACTCTATCAAGCTCAAAAGAGTTTAAAGCGGTCCCTAAACCTGTCTCCGGCCATGAACAAAGTTATCACTCACCCTTCCCGCTGAAACCGCCCCCCGTGTGCACCTTCTTGCCTTCCTTCTCCTGCGCGTCCTTGTACTTGTCCCACAGCTGGCGCAGCTCGGGCGGGGCGACGGCGCCGGCCAGTTCGAACGCGCGCAATACGTCGCCCGCGTACCGCCCCTGTTCGGGCGTGAGGAACGTCCATGCGAAACCTTTGTTGCCCGCGCGGCCGGTTCTGCCACATCTGTTATGGATTCATTGTTAACTATGTCGAGATTTTTGATGTGTAACATCTTTCCTCTCGCTTTCGTGCAATTTATGGGAGTGATTACGTGAAGTGGGACGGAAGTGTGTAACAGGAAGTTTGGGAAGCGCGCGCTATTTGATTTGATTTTAGAACATAATGTTCTAATGAATTATTCCTCTGTTGTATTAGGTTTTATTTCTTTTTTTTACTAATATAAGGTGAGGTTGCAAATGTTACACATCAATCGCCACTACTGTAGGGCTCGCTCGTTTTCTTCTATGTCATTTCACTTAATTACTCTAAACAGACAACAAACAGCAGCTAGTTTTTAACTCAAATGCCGGTTGTAAAATCACAGCCACTCGCTTGCTCAGGCCCTTTTAATTTTAACGGGCTACCGGCCGCTCAAATATTTTAACTCACTTGCTTTTCGACAGTCAGCATATACAGTGTTTCATCTAAAGTATCAATCCGATGTGAGGTGGTAGAGTATTTCCTTGTCTATTTAGTAAACACAAGTGTATTTTCGTTGTATAAATTATATTTTCATCCCACCACCTCGGAAAGTGTAATTTTGCGCTTCGAAATCTGGCTGGAAAATTCTATTTTATTCGCTTGAGCGGCAAAGTAGATTTGAATTTAGAACATCACATATAATGAGTACTCAATATAATTGTAAATTCAAAACGTCATTAAACCTATTTAATGTAACCTCTATGGTGCCAAATTTATGATTAGAACTTTTTAAATTGTGAAAAAATTTAAATTTGGAACCTTCTTGGTTTCTTTGTTTTATTTGCGTGCTTCGCGCCATTCTAGTTTTTCACGTTTTATTGCTTAATATAATTAACATAACCTAAAAACTGTACAAAAAAATCAACTAAAATGAGTGACATTAGCGACGATGAAGTTTATCTAACGCCAACTGAGTTAACTGAAACAGTTAATAATGCGCAAATGAGCCTTCTCCCTCAGCAATCACGAGAGAAGTATTTGAAACAGTACGATATATTTAACATGTGGCGACTAGCTAAAGGAGCAAAAACTTTCTCCGAAAACGTTTTGCTGGCATATTTTATAGAATTATCTGAGACCAAGAAAGCAAGCACGCTATGGAGTACGTATTCAATGCTAAAATTAACAATTAAGATGAAGAAAGACGTTCATATCGACACCTATCATAAATTAGTGGCATTTTTAAAAAGAGCCTCATCTGGTTATAAACCAAAAAAATCGAAGGTTTTCACAGCATCTGAAATTGCAAAGTTTATTAATGAAGCACCTGATTCCGTATATTTAGCGGCAAAAGTAAGTCAATACGTGTAATTTTTTGTTGTTGATAAAATTGTACATAGTACTTACAATATTTTTAATTTGATTAATTTATTTACGATTATAAATACTTCTTTTGTTACAGGTTGTTCTTATTATTGGTATAACCGGAGCATGTCGAACAAATGAACTTACACTACTTAATGTCAATAACGTATCAAAATATTCTCATAATTCTGATGAATTGCTATTAATTAATGTACTAAATACCAAGACAAAAAAAGACCGCAACTTCGTTATTCGCAAGGAATATGTAAACATTGTTCAGAAATATCAAGCTTTACGTCCTTCTAACACCCCAATTGAACCATTTTTTCTACAATATCGCAACGGAAAGTGTATCCGACAACCTATGGGTCAGAATAAAATTGGCAGTATTCCACGAGAAATAGCAACTTTTCTCGGACTTTTAGAACCCCCGTTATACACCGGTCACTGTTTTAGAAGAACCTCAGCCACACTTTTGGCCGAATCAGGGGCTGATCTTCTATCGCTTAAGCGCCATGGAGGCTGGAAGTCTAATTCGGTTGTAGAGGGATACATAGAGGATTCAATCCAAAGTAAATCAAAAATTTGTAATAGTATCGTGGAGGCCATAACGCTGAAAGAACCTCTGTCAGATTCTTGGTCTCGCCCTTCTACATCTAAAATGAGCCCCCATAAGATTGGAAACAATAGCCCTCTCTCGCCAACATTTACGCCAATAGAATCCAATGAATCGGCACAACTATTTAAAATTACTGATACGAGTAGTTTACCACAAAACAGCGCACAATTCACAAACACCAACATAACATTACCTAACAAAAATATTAAACTTAACATAAGTAACTGTAGCAACGTTACATTTAATATTTCTTAATTATTTTCTACTTCTTATTATTTTCTTCAATTTATAGATTATCTTAATATGTTTTAATTGAAATAAAAATATTTTGTCATTATAAATTGCTTTCTTTTTCATTTTGTCATTTCCTCGCTGAGGTGGGATGAAAAGTTACGTATTGCACTCGAGTGGAAAGATTTTTCACCTTGTGCTCGTTTGTTTCCCTCGCTGACGCTCAGGATTCTAATTTAGAATCACTCGCTGCGCTCGTGATTCAACTTTAGAATCCTTCGCTTGCTCGGTCATCCAAATCGAGCACGCGGTTAAAAAGGAACTTTCCACTCTTGTATAATAAATAACTATTACAGGACTTTTTTATGAGACAAGAGTATTATTTATTATAATTACATATTTAATGTAGTCTAGCCGTTGTTTGATACAAAGTTCAATTTGACTATTAGTCAATACTTAAATTTGACAAAAGGTTTTTATTTTATAGTATTTTAACTAGAGTCACAATTAACTAACAACGCGGCCTTAGTCTGCTACGACACTTACCTATGCACATAGTCCTCATAATGATTCGGACAGTCGTAGTTGACAACCAGCACCAGTTGCTTCACATCCAACCCCCTGGCCGCCACACTGGTCGCCACCAGCAGCTTCACCTTGCCCGACTTGAAGTCGACGATGGTCGAGTCCCTGTCGAATTGATCAATCCCTGTAACAGATCAGCGTTAATATATACGTCATACGACAAATGGAATACTATAGGCGCGTAAACTCTTTACTAAAGGCGTCCATTAGACGCTCATGCTGCCGTCAGCCAATAGGAATGATGAAATTTTTCGTTCTTCGTCTATGAAGTAGATTATCAAAAACTATTTTTTTTTCTATTCACACAATCGAACAATTGCACAGATTTTTACCAGTACAATTTTTACTTAGAAGTGACGTCACTATCCCCCCACTCATAAGCTTTGACGCGCTTTATCTTTGTAATTTTTTTGGTTGATAAAATAAAAAAATAAGTGTCTATTCTTATTTGATAATCAAACTGTCGAACTAAATAGAATTTCGTTTATTTTACTCCATCGTCATCCCTATTGCATCATCATGACTGATGCATCATTCACATGATTAATAAAAAACAGATGGCGACTGAAAGTTATCAGTCACCCCATTAGACGACAGGTTATCCATCAGTCCCTTTGCCAGTAAACTGACAAACAAAACCAACTGAATGATATGATTGTGATTGCAAGATTTTATGCGCCTATAGTTACAGCAGCAACGACATACAAGCGTTATATAACACAAATCTTCCTCGCGTTTAACACAGTGACAGGTCGGTGGCTGAAAGGGAAATAAGACTTAATTTAATATCATTGTTGTAAGATCTTTTTGCTGTAACTTTTGAAAGCAAAAGATGTGAGAAAAAATATTTTTATCCTTTAACTGTCACTATTCTAGGTAAGTAAGCAATAACAATATAAAGCATTTCTAATTTAAATTGATTTCTCACACTAACTTCAGGATTTCGTAAACCGACAACAGATCTAATAATTTCAGTGAAAATTTACAAATAAAATTCCGAAGCTATAAGTTGTTATGATTATCAAACCTTGAATAATTCAACATAAAATTCAAAATCAATTCACATATTTCAACCTGAAGTAACAATGTTTAATGCAACAAAACATACTTGATAAATTAATGAAAAACTCACCTCCATGTAAACTCATGCAAGAGTACGAAGCTTTCATTAGATCCTTGAGTAAACTGTCGGCGTTTTCTTGTTTGTCCACAAACACTATGATGCTGCCCATCTGACTGTAGAGCCCTAGTAGTTCTAAAAGCTTGAAGAACTTTGCATCGTCCTCCAATATGGCTACGTGCTGTTCCACTTCCTTGCATACCACGCTTCGGCCTCCCACCTGTATGTGGGATATTATGTCTCTGAGTTTTAGTTCACACTGTATTATCGTTAGATAGGTACAATCTGCCAATTTCATTCCTGACCTTATATTGTGTTACAAACATTTCAAAACGAAACATGACATCGACTGGAATATTTTCAAGCCATCGAAAAATGCTTTTTGCACAGCAATACCGTTACATAAGACTCGTGTGGTAGTTGTGTTTGTTTTTAGCACCCAGTCTAGCAATATGGAATAAATATTTACGCTCTGGTGTAGTGGCGTACGTAGGTGCGCCAATCCCAGAGCGGCCTCATAAGGGCCGAGGAGGGTACCGGTGGTTTTTAGTGGGTAGGACCGGCGGTGTTCCACGCCGGGGAGTCCCACACACGGCGCGCGGTATGGTGCGTAAATGCATTTTCCACCGTCAACAAAAAAAAAAGATGGCGCAAGTGCTAAGCGCGTTCGCTGCAATCGCTGAAGTTAAGCAAATTTCGCAGTAGTCGGTCATTGGATGGGTGACCAAAAATTTACCAACTCGAGCTCCTCCGTGCTTCGGTAGGCACGTTAAGCCGTTGGTCCCAGCTACATCTGCAGTTGTTAGCACCCCACGCCCAATCTCCCTATTCCATTCATAGGGGAGGCCTGAGTCCCAGCAGTGGGGACATTAACAGGCTGATGATGATAAATCTGTCAAATAGGAATAGTAAGTTACAATAAGTTCTTACCTGAATCTCTATAGGTTTCTGTAATATTCGGCGTGCGAGCGCTTCCATTTGTCTAGGGAAGGTTGCGCTAAACATCACAGTTTGTCTGTCTGGTCTTATGTTGTCGATGATTTTCATTACCTGAAACAAATTAAACATTTTCAAGGCCACTGTTCAGAAATGTATAATAACCGCTCAGAAACCCTTATAATTTTTAAACTGGTTTGACCAAAGTCAACAAAAGAACTACGTTTTCGTTTCGTTATTCTTAGGAACAAATATCTCCTATCGTTTACGTTCTAAACCGCTATTTTAACGGTTTATTTCTGAACCAACAATACAGGATTGCACGTTTATAAATACTTACCTACATTGAAGGCCCGTCAACTATCTTAAACAGGTTTATTTCGGTTACAGAACGAAATTCCTATCGGTTTTGCTCTGAACGAAATGTTTTGAAAAACCGGTAAAGAGTTCCGAGCCTTGCTTATACTATTGGTATTATAATATCGATAGAAATCGAAACTAATTGGTTTCATCTGTAACATTGGTAGTGCAACTCAATAGTGCATTCGGTACAAGGGACGTACTTTAACTGTAGCTCGAAGCCCATTTCGATTAGCGGCCTAGCACACAAGGAAGCTATCTGTCATATCGGGCGATATATGAACGACTGCCTTGCATTATTGCTAGGGCTTTCTATCATCACCGCTATTTGCTTTCACTGCGCTATCTAGTTCGAATAGTACAAATAGCTTTACAGTGCTTACTTTGGAGCTGGACTAATTGGTGCGAGTGTTAGAAATATTTATTTATATTATTAATTCCGAGTTATTCCTATATGATGAACTGCGCTGAAAAAAGTAATTTACAAAACTAGTTGAGTTAACCGATGAATAGCCAAACTTTCGTTTTTTAATAAATAAATTTTAGTCGCTCATAGAAAACAGTTGTTCTGTAGCATTTTACATTATCATTTCAGTTAATAGAGTTTAGTTAAAACCTACTAAACCATTTTGTTATAAGCTGTCAAATTCGATTTCGGTAATCTGTAACATAAATTGTTATGTTACAGATTGCTATAATTAAACACACTTGAGCTGATTATTTACATAGTTAATAATAATAATAATAAATATTTCCAACACTCACACCAATTAGCCTATCCCCAAAGTAAGCACTGTAAGGCTTGTGTTATGGGAAACTAGGGTAACGGATAGAATACATATACTGTACATATATAAATATAGAAAATACATATTATAACATCCATGACTGGAGTACAAATGCTCGTATTCATCACACAAACATCTGCCCCCACCGGGATTCGAACCCAGGACCTCTCGAGTCGGCGACACCATGAAACCCGGCGTATAAACCACTCGGCCACGGAGGTCGTCGTTGTCCTAACTACAACTATACTCCCGGTCACATCAATCGGCCCACCTAGCATTTTAAGTTTTGGCCTATTATGGTTTTGATGGTCCCTAGCTGATAAATGTTACATTGAGCAAAAAGTTTTTATGCAGTTTTGAAGCCGATGTATTGAACTGACTGATAAACCATCTTTATTGAGTGTTTCAAATAATATATTTTTGTAGATCAACCAAACTTAATTATATTTTTGCTACAGATCATTTAAACCTATTACTCTAAGTGTGCCGAAAAGTTTCAGATTCCAAGTACATGTTTTGTTAAATGTTTGGTTCATCCGCTGAGATTGTTTTGTACTTAATATATAATGTAATTTTATAAAAATTGTATTTGAAATTACATTGGGAACCAGGGTACCTATTACGATTACACCAATCCCCTGTTAACCAACAGTACTTACTTGTAAGTAAGTAGTACGTACAGGGTTTTGAAAGAGAAAAGTACTTTTGCAAGTAAGATAATAATATTCAATATACAGCTATAATTCATCAGAAAATTATGTTGCAGATAACAAAGTTCGGTTACTAATATCAGTATAGTGAGGCTACTGAAGCAATCATTTTGTAACCAATCACTGAACAAGTGTAAGAATTATCGAAACCATAGTTATTCATAACAAACTAGTTTTGTTAATTTTACATAACTGTTTTGTTATAACAACAAAACTATTTTAACAAAACCGAGTTTGTCTACTACTAAATATAGTTTATTTTTTTTTGTTATAAGCAGCTCAAAACTTTTTAACACGCTTTTATTAGTTTCACCTGTTTGTTTATTTGTTTTTGTGAATGTAACTGACTCATTTGGACTCGATTTTGCCCAACTTTAAGAGATCAGATTTACTTTAAACTTTGTAGGCTTATCAACGATCGAAGACAATACAATATTTTGATAAGCTCATTGATAATAACGTGGTAAACATATTAGTTTTATTAACACGCCTTTATGAGGACGACTTGTAGGTAACTAACTATATAATAAAATCTAAGAATATTGAAAAAGCGTGGCGCGCTTCATTATAAAATTTTAACTGAATTGTTAAGCCTTATGAATCACGCAATATATTCATTGATTTGACAAATATTGCAATATATAGCGCTCCACGCTTTTTCAGTTACATATGTATGTTAAAATAAACTATAAACATAGCTAACTCTAAGGCCCTAATGAAGTAAACTAAGAGTATATTTTCATTATTTTTGGCTTTGTAGTGCAGTAAATAAAAGCGTGTTTTATGTTTTTATAAAGCTTTTAATTTTTTGGTGTGAGTGCTTCATTCATTTTGTAGACGTCACAGGCACTCACCTGGGGCTCGAAGCCCATGTCGAACATGCGGTCCGCCTCGTCGAGCACCACGTACGTGACGCGCCGCAGATTGGTGACGCGCCCGCTGTTCGCCGCCAGCATGTCGATCATGCGGCCCGGCGTGCATACTATCATTTCAGCGCCGCGTTTCAATTCCGCTATCTACATGGGAAAATACAAAAAACGGTAAATATGAGAGAGAGAGAAAGTTATATTATACTAACCTGCAAAGTTTGCAAACATAAAAAAAAACACATTAAGATTATATAACTAGAAAAAAACGTGAAGAGATGGCGCTGCCTTGCAGCTTAAGAAAGGCTAGAAAGAATTCGACACGGCCATCAGGGTCGCGGTAGCATAATGGTCAGTGCATACGCCCGGATAGCGAAGGGTGCGGGTTCGAGTTCCGTTTGCTGCCTGGTCCGCGTGAATTTTTTCTAGTAATATTTTCTTTTACCAGTCCAGTTACATGCTTACAAAATAAAAAATATAGCATTGAGATTAATTTAAAAACAAAATTTTCAACTTGAAGACTTAATAGCATAAAATCGTCAATCAAGATCCTACCTCAGAATATCGCTATTGCCACACGCTACTTAGCGTGACAACAACGCTGGTATTCTGGCAGGGTCTGTAAGGTACGGTATACTTAAATACTAAAAACGTCGCTTAAACTCTTCTATGTGGTAACATGTAGAAAAAAACATTAGCTGGGAATATACAAAAAGAAATGTAAATATAAATGATCCGTCCATTGTGATATGCCCACACTCTCTAGTTAAACGAATATAACGACAAAAGAAAATCGCAGCTATCCTTCCTTCGGAAACAACAATATCTCGATATCTTTGACGTTCAGCACTCGGGTTTCATTGAACCTTGATATCCTTCTTGATTTTCATACACAGTTCTCTGGTAAGCTCCATGATGAGACAAAAGTAACATAATTATGAGGTGAATCAACATACCAGTGCAGAGATTCCAATGCCTCCGTACACGCAGACGACTCCGAGCCCTTTTTTTTTTGTGACGAGGGGAAATGCAGTTACGCACCATACCGTGACGCTGACTAGGCGCACGGCGTGTGTGGGACTCGCCGGCACGGGAAACAGTGCCGACCCTACTCAAGCAGGACCAATGCGGAAGGCCACACTGATCCTACTCCACTAAAACCCCCCGGTACCCTCCTACGCCCATATGGGGGCGTCTCAGGATCGACGCACCTTAGCGTGCGCCACTTCACTGGGACGTCCCCGGGCCGGCCCGGCCCAACGAGTGGACCGGGCGACGCGCCTCAGGGGGACTGCGCTAGGGTACTAGGCAACGACTCCGAGCCCTAATAACTCGGCGAACTTCTTGATATCCTTCCCTATTTGCATGCACATCCCTCAAGTATGCTTATAATGAGACAAAAGTAACATATTTATGATATTAATTAACAAACCTGTTAAGAGATCCCAGTGCCTCCGTACACACAGATGACTCTTGAGCCCTGACTTGACCTGCCACAATATTCTGATAGGCTTCATGATAAAAGAAAAGTAACATATTTTTAAGTGGAAGGACAAACCTGTTCAGAAATCCCAGTGCCCCCGTACACGCAGACGACTCTCAACCCTAAAGACTTGGCGAACTTCTTGATATCCTTGCCGATTTGCATGCACAGTTCTCTTGTAGGCGTCATGATGAGAGATATTGGTCCGTCCGTATCTTCGAGCGGGGGTTGGTCGAGTACGTGACGGAACATCGGCAGAATGAAAGCCAATGTCTTGCCTGAGCCGGTCTTCGCTATGCCGATTAAGTCTCTGCAACAAGATGAAATCACAATTAAGACCGCGTTGTTTGATAAGTAGAAATAGTTATAAAAAATCAATTAAAATAACTATTTGTGAAGTAATGGTGTCAATTCTGACACGATTCTCTAAACCTAAACTTAAATTTGACAACAGCATATCCTTGTCATTCTCTGTACGGAATGAGAGATTGATGTGAAATTTAGTTTTAAGTTTAGAGAATCACTCCAGAAACGACACCAATGACACATTTAATGTCATTGTTTCACAAATGTGTATTTGAGGCATAGAGGTTAGAGAGAACAGGAACGATTTTACGTGCTAAAGCATTAGCCCGCCTGTCCATGAAAATTTGTAGAATTTATAGTTTATTTTTCAGCCACCAGCCACGTTGCCGTCGGTCGTCAAAAACTCATCAAAATCTAAGAATCAATACAAAAACATTACGAATGTGTAAACTCAGCGAGTGCTAAGAAAGTATTGTTTATACAATATCGTCAGAAGGCGTCATATAGATGTGAGCGCTACCCATCACAACACAACACGTCAGACAAAATTAAATATAAACGCGGCTTAACGGTTGGTTCCTTTTTTTTGCAAAATTGAAAATTGCATCACAGCAAAATGCAGATGTTAATAGTGGTCAGTGTAACATTGTATGTAACGCGCTGCACTGAAATGCACACGCGTTGGTTTGATTCAGGCATTATTGTATTTAAAGTTCTCCTTATATTACGACATTGACACGACTAGTCAGTATTACCAAGTTAAGGGTTTCCCCCCAATCGTAGGAGAGCTGGGGTTTATAGCGACTTAATTTCATAATATATCTGGTTTTTCTTTTCATTGAAATAAAATATGTTTTTTTAAGTAGTTCAAGTTTAATAAGTATTACGATACTACAGATTACTTACCGTCCAGACATGATAGCAGGAATGGCTTGCGCCTGGATCGGGGTCGGTTTCTCAAAACCAAGTCTCTTCAGTATGTCGAGCTCTTTCTTACTGATTCCACAATGGGCCCACGTTCGAATCGGTTTTGGACAACCTTTGCCCTTTACGCGAATGCCTTCCAACTCAGTCCGATAAGCTTCTACCTCTTCGGGTGTCATCCTAGCCAGCTCACTTACCTGATACCAAATAAAGTAAACATTACAACATAAAAGATAATAATCTAGTAACCAATACTTCATGATTTCCTATGGAGATTTAATAACACTTGTGAGTATATTGTGGATTTAGGGCTCATACACAAAAACACAGTACGATGCGGCATTGCTTCACGATGCGATGTCGTAATCGTAGAATTATACGATGAGCAAACGTTGAGCAACGTAAAAACTCACAACTTGACATGGCACGGCATGACGTGATCGGTATCGTTACGTATGTTTTCTTAATTATATCTTTGAATCTTTCGTTCCTAGACTATGGTTACTAAATGATCAATAATATTATTCATTTTTTTTTTAATTTTGAATAACAAATGAATGTGAAAGTTTTAACGATACGACTTCGTGCATTGTAGCACATTGCGATTTGGCAAAACGTAATTTCTACGATACGACGTCGCGTCGTGAAACGATGCCATACCCGTAGCACGACGCGACGTCGTATCATGTTTTGTGTAAAAGCCCTTACTCAAAAATCGCAGTCAGTTGAATGATTAAAAATAATAAAATCACTAGTAAAATTTGTTCAATTGAGGAAATAGGTGCGTTCATCAAAAACAAGTTTGACAAGTTACTTACTTCGGTATAGAAAGCTTTTCTAAAAGACATATACTGTAGACTAGAGTGGTCAACTTTGGCGAGTTCTTTCCTCTGTTTCGATGCAAGGTTGGCAGCTGCATCCTTGATGTCTTCCGTCTCTTCTTCTGATGAATATTCTAAGCCGTCTTGATTCTGCTCTATTAGTTCCCCTGAACAATTTAATTGACTTTGTTATTACCCTGAAGTAATCTATCATTAACGAACAGGGATAATATCGGGGTAAAGGAAACAAAATTCTATTTAATCTGCCAGTTACATGATCAAAAAATAATAGACAGTTATTTTTTTTCTTTTGCCAATCAACCATAAAAATTACAAAGAAAAAGCGCGTCAAAGTATGGGAGTGGATTCTCGCGTTGTAACCTCTACAAAACTGCAAACATTGTAACAAGACGTGACGTCATGCGACAATTCAAATGAATTTAACTGTTATGTTTTGATAATGTGAAAATACTTAAAATATGTGTCCAAATACTTTATGTTAATCTATCTGATGAATGAACAAAATTAAATTACCCCTATTGGCCAAGTGTGAGTCGGACTCGCGCAATACGACATTCAACATTACCTTGTGTAAGATTTTTTTATATAATTTAGAATTCAGTATATTTTCATTATTTGTTGTTATGGCAGCAATATAGGAATATACAATTTATTAAAATTTGCATAAAGAAAAGTTCCTTAACAGACCGACACAGCTGGACAGCAAAACTTAAGTGCAATATTTTTGGCCAAAACCCTAAAAAGAACAAGCATGTTTATGAAATAAAAAACATTTGAAGATTCTACACTAAAAATTTTAGTTTGTTTTAAATATTTGCCTTGCTCTCTAAATTAATAAAGAAAAAATAACTTTTTCAAGCAAGGAAGTTCATGTGTGTCATAACAAGTGTGTAAAATTTGACAATACACTGGTCAACACTGTTTTTGACACAGGAACTTTGTGATGATTTTTATTTATGTTGATGTACCCTCATTCAAAAATAATCATTATTTGGTATCAGTCACATCCAGTTTTTTTGTGACAGCTACATATCCATTTCTGACCTCATTTACGTGTTTTTATTTGAATAACGTTAATTTAGACGACTGTATAACGATTGCATTCAACTAACTTACGTTTGTTACATTGCATTGTAAATATGCCGCGAAAGTGTTCTAATAACCCAGACAGTTTTTGTTATGTGAGTGGAGAATTAACTTTTACATCTCAGTGTCGAAAATTTACGCCGTTAATTGAAAAGTGCTATTTAGACTATTTTGGTTTTCCTGTACGCCACCAAGATAAACCCTGGGTTCCACATATATGTTGTTCAACGTGTGTTAGACTCCTATTAGGTTGGTCTAAACAAAAATCTAGACTTTTGGCTTTTGGTATACCAATGATTTGGACGAAACCAAAAGATCGTGTAAGTGATTGTTATTTTTGTTTGATTCAAACAAAAGGCATAACAACTAAGTCTAAACACACTGTCCAGTACCCAATCGTGTCATCGGTCAACAGACCAATCCTACACAGTACCGAACTGCCTGTGCCAAAGCTTCAAAATCAAGCAGAAAGTCTGGATTCTGTTCCTTGTCCGGAATTTGTGTTTAGTCAACAAAGTGGGATATCTCTAGAGAGTGACCCAAGTTATGAGCCGTCAACTTCAAAAGAACCGCATTTATTGACAGAAAGTGATTTATATGATTTAGTACGCGATTTGAACTTGTCTAAAAAACAGGCTAAGCTTTTGGGGTCTAGATTGAACGACTGGAATTTAAAATTACAAAGACTTAATCAGTTAGCTTTTAATTTCATACAAAGCTTTGGGATGTAATACGTCTTTAAAATACATATGCTGTACTCTCATCTGGATGATTTTCCCGAAAATTTGGGTGCTGTGAGCGACGAACAAGGCGAGAGGTTTCATCAGGACATTTCCTTCATACAAAAGCCCTATCAAAGGAAATGGAGTCCAGGAATGCTAGCAGATTACTGCTGGAGACTTAAAAGGAACCTACCAAAAGCCAAACATTCACACAAATCATAGATATTTATTTTACATTAAGAAATATTTTTTTATATGTTACTGATTTTTGTACTTTTCATAAAAATATAAATCTTGATGTCACAAAGAAACCTGACGTGTCAATTTTTTTCTGTTGATATATTATTGTTTGGTGCCCATAGTACATTCAAAGGAGAATGCCCATTGGTAGTATCGTCCTTGGTCGGCCTTGTACATTCACCTAATTTATATCAAAAATCAAGTTTTTAATTTTCACAAAACCATGTTAAATAATTTGCTTTAACTTCGCCGAACAAAAATTTCTATAAAAAATTAGTAATTCATTCACTTCCATTTCATTTGTATTTTTGACACACTTGTCTTCTCAGTGTTGCCATTTTGTAATAACCGTATCGATTTATCAAAATATAATCGATGCACTTGTAGTTATTTCATCAAAATAACGAGTTAGATTATGCGTACAATTCAAAATGCTAAAGAAAACATATTATATTGCATTACATTTGTCGCAAAAAAAGTAGTCTGATCTGTATATTAAGATTATTAAGTATAGATATAGACTCGAAAGTCCATAATACAAGTTTAGATCTACTGCTAACAGTTTATTTACCGGATAATTGTCCATATTATCGAGGGGTAGTCAGAAAAAAAAGTATCGCACGGCTCGGTGTCTGTTAAAAAACCGATTTTTTAGGGTCGTACATGATACATATACAGCCCTAAACGTAAATGCTGCATCACATGCCGTCATCATTTATGTCTACGTGCATGACCGACGATCATCCATACGAGTAATTCATAACTTGCATGCTGTTAATAAAAGGAACTCCATGGGGACTTCTCATTTATCTGCCTGTACCTAGCCTGAACGCTGTTTGTTTTGATATCAATAAAATAAATTCTTTTTTGCTTTACTAAGTATCTCATGACGCAATACCGTCCACAGATTTAACACAAATAATGTATCAGATATACTATGTTATATTTTGCACGTATAGCGCTATACATGTGATATACTTGCAAAATATAACATTTATGCTTCTACAATGATCATAAATCTATGACAGTGTAATAAATTATTAAGCGGGATTAAACTATTGTACCAGTAGTGATAAATCGGGAAAGAGGAATATCGATTCATTCATATTTTTTTAGAAACTGGTAATAATATTTCCAGCGGGGTCTGTCAAATTGTTTCTTTTTCACTGATGTTTCTAATTTCGAGCAGATTATTTGGTAAATATTTCAGTGTTTATAATTATTTTCATCTATTTCCTTTAAGCTGAGTTGATTTTTGATTTGATTCAACCATTTTATAGATAGATGAACTTGAAAAAGGGAAGGCAAGAATTATTAATATAATGACATTTGTTATATCGTTATTCGTATTACCCGTCGAGCTAGACAAAAAGTATATTTAATTATTGAATCTACACATAGGACCCTACAAAATAAGGTAAAAACCGTCATTGTACAAAATTTTTCGTAGCGATACTATAGTCCATACTACGATGGGCATTCTCCTTTGGTATAGGTTTTCGTGTGACAAAAAAAGTTTGGATTTTGTTGACCAGTGAATAGAACTAAATTTCCTAAAAATTATGAAATATAAAAGTATTTTTTTATCTATTGACACGTGACTCAAAAAACCTAGGATTGGTGGAGCCTAAAATGACATCACCTGCTTGTAAACATCCTGAGGAAGGGACATTATACTGTTTGCGTTTTAATGATTGGCATATTTTCTAGAGAAACATTTCCATGGCATATTTGAAAACAAAAAAAATGTTTTTTAGTAATTGTATGCAACATAGTTATAAATAAATACCTACTTTTTAAATTTGTACTATAAACTAATAAATATCATATGAAAACTTTCAAAATTTTGTTTAATAGCCTTTTAAGTACCTTTATTTTTGGTTTCTGTCACCTTCTTCTTAGCTGTTCCAGTTAATATAACAATACCCGTGCCTCCTGCCGAAGAAGGCACGCTAATCATACCCCGGGTTTGATCCATTTGATTCACTTTTCTCACTTCCTGTAAACGTAAAAACTTGGCTGTAAAATCTTCTAACAATAATAATTATTATTAAAATGGTGGCAAACAAGTAGTAAGCCTGCCTGATGGTAAGCGGCCACCATAGCTTATAGACGCTTTCGATACCCAAACATCAGTCGCGCCGTTGCTCACTCTAACCCGATTCCCCATGGAGCCCTGAAACCTTTTTTTTTTTTTTTTTTTAATAGATAGATCCGACAAATGACTCCACCCCACCTGATGTTAAGTGAAGGTGAAGTCCAGACGCGAAGATAGCTGATACAGCAGTTCTAACTGCCACACCAGCCATCCTCACCCTGCCGGCCTGCAAGTTGCTTCTTCACGCCTCTTTTAAAGGATCCCAGATTGTAAGAGGGTGGGAACACGTGAGCGGGCAGAGCATTCCATTTACGGATAGTACGACAAAGAAATGAGTCACCAAATTTCTTTGTACGCGTTGGAATTGTAGCCACAGTTAGACGGTGACAACGTAAGCCAGCGCGCGTGGTCCTCTGAAGGAAAGGGGAAGGTGGAATAAGAGAGAATAACTCCTCAGAACACTCGCCGTGGTACAGGCGATAGAACGCGCTTAGTGACGCCACGTCACGGCGTAATTGAAGAGGCTCGAGGTGTTTAGTCACCTCCTCATCGCCTATGATGCGGATTGCGCGCCGCTGTAACCTATCCAAAGCATCGAGCAAGTACTTAGCGGAGCCATCCCAGAGGTGCGAGCAATATTCCACGCAAGACCGCACCTGCGTCTTATACAACAAGCACAGTTGCTCGGGCGTGAAAAAACGCCGCACCTTGTTCAGGACTCCGAGTTGGCGTGAGGCTGTTTTTATCACATGATGTAATTCTTTGGATTTAAGTCACAGCGAATCTCCATACCGAGCATGGTGATACTGCTCTCTAGCTCCAGTGTTGTGCCCTGAAGAGAAGGACATAAAAGGAATGGCGACGTTTTTGCCGTGAAAGCACAGACCTGGGTTTTCTTAGCATTGAACTCAACCAAGTTCTTGGTACCCCATACAGAAATGTGGTCCAAAGCTTGATTGAGCTCAATGACAAGATTCTCCCGTTTCTCCTTGGTTACCGCCTGCCCAGCCGCTGCTTGTCCGAGATACCCCGCATGCACTGTACTATCGTCTGCATAGCAATGAATATTCCCAAGAGGAATTAAGTCATTGATATGCAGCAGAAAGAGAGTGGGGGATAGGACGGAGCCCTGGGGAACGCCGGCATTCACTGACATGAACCGCGAACTGCTACCATCCGTAAGGACACGAATTCTACGCTCATGCAGGAAGTCAGCTACCCAAGAACAGAACTGGGCCGGCAGACCGTATGCCGGAAGCTTGGAGAGAAGACTTTTGTGCCAGACCCTGTCGAATGATTTGGCAATGTCAAGGCTAATAGCCAACGACTCGCCTCGCTTGTCGATAGCCTCACCCCAGATATGAGTCAAGTACGCTAGAAGATCACCCGTCGATCGTTTCGGTCTAAAACCATATTGACGATCATTGATCAGGGAGTGATCCTCTAGGTAGCGGATCAGATGGTTGTTAAGGACCTTTCCTAGGACTTTACATAATACTGAGGTGACTGCTATTGGCCGGTAGTTAGCCGGGTCTGAGCGATCCCCTTTTTTGGGTACCGGTTGCACGTTAGCATCTCTCCAAGCTTCCGGCACACGCCCCAAAGAATACGAGCACTGGTACAAACGCGTGAGCACGGGAGACAACTCCGCTGCACATTTTTTCAGTACTACTGCTGGGATGCCATCGGGTCCACTAGCTTTCCGGACGTCGAGTGATTGCAATTCGGCACGAACCTCACGCTGCCTGATTTTGATATCCGGCATCGTTGTGCCACAATGAGGTAATGATGGTGGCGATGCATTGCAATCATCGATTCGGGAGTTAGCCGCAAAGAGTTTTGCCAGTAAATCGGCTTTCTCCTGCGGCTTATGAGCTAGTGTTCCGTCTGGGCATCTCAGAGGTGGCAGCGAGGGCTGGCAGAAGTTCTTTTGCACGGCCTTGGCCAAACGCCAATAGCTACGGGAGCCCGTAGGATGCGTTATAAGTTCGTGACCAACACGTGCTACGCGCTGGGCATCCGCTCTGATGTAAGCCTTCTTACAGGCCTTGGAAGCAATATTGTAGGCTGCTTTTAGTGAATCGACCCCGGGATCCTTAATAGCGCGGCCTCTGATCCAAGCACGATATGCCGCTTGCTTACGCGAAGCAGCTTCAGCACAGTCGTGATTGAACCAGAGGTTACGAGTGCCCTTACTGATGAGATTGGAATGAGGAATATAGTATTCCATACCCATTACAATCTCCTCAGTAATAGCAACGGCGCTGGCTGATAGGTCCTTATCACTGAAGCAGCGCTGCTTCCAAGGGACGGACGCAAAGTAGTCACGCATACCGTCCCAATCTGCCGACCCATAATGCCAAATCCGGCGTTTTACCACCGTTGGACGTGGAGGCTTGGCCTGTGGCGCTTTGGCAGATATCAGGCAGTGATCTGAAGAGCCCAGGGGGGCTCCTACCACAACCTGATAGCCCTGTGGATGGGTCGTGAGCAGAAGGTCCAGTAATGAAGGCGCTTGACTTGAAATATCTGGAATCCTGGTGGGCTGATCGACCAGTTGTTTCAAGTCCTGCGTGAGAGCGAACGCGTGAGCAGAGATCCCTGCATGGTCAGTTTTCGAGGAACTTAACCACAAATTGTGGTGAGCATTAAAGTCCCCCAAAAACACCAATTCTGCATTGGGAAATTGCTCCTGCGCGTCATCTGCTGCCCGACTAAGATGTTCGAAAAGTCGAGTTGTCTCAACATCGCCAGTGTGGGATCTGTAGAGGCACACGTAGACTCTGGCCTGGGGACCAGAATCGACGTGTACCCCCAACATGGAGAAGGAGGGATCTTCCAAGCAGCGAAGACGGCGACAACAAACATCCGCCCGAACATACAGGCATACACTTTCGCTTTGAAGGACTCTTCAAGCACGTAGCCGCGATAATTAAGGTAGCCTGTGTCAGCAGGCGGAAGTATTTGTGTCTCCGTCAGGAACAACAATGCTGGCCGTGCTGTCTCAAGATGGTGGTGGACAGCATTGAGGTTAGAGTGGAGTCCGCGTATGTTGCAGAACTCGACCTCAAACAGCGTTGAAGGCGTGGGGGTGTGCACCGCTGTACGTCCAAACTTTGTTTTGAGAGCTGCCATTATGGAAGTGATAAAGAGACGTGAAACGAGTGGACGTTGTCGAGACAAGACCGGGCAAATTAGGAAGGCATGTTTCCCCGAATAATTGCCTGCAGAGGATATACGCCGACCCGCCGGACGGAAGGGCCCCCGCACCCCCCCCGGAAGTGGCCGCCGGGACCCCACGCCCCGGTCACCAACCGGCACGACGGTCCACCCCGAGATTATGCGTGACATGATGGGGCAGCCTCGCGAACTGGTTAGGAACGCTCGGGCCCCTGTACTGTGCCACGGGCGGCCAGCGGGACAACCGTTTCTACGGGTCTCCCTGGCCGGCGGGTCGATGCAGTCCTCCCGGCATCGGTTCGACGAATGCCTCGCCCTGGACCGAATCCGTCGCGACAACCTACACTCGAGCCTTGGTTGTACGCTGGCTGACCCCGAAACACGCGAGAAGCACTTCACGGGTTTTTCACCATGCGCACGGTGGTAGCAAACCAGGCGGGTGTTAGGCACCCTACCACCAGCAGAGCGCATGGAAGCTCCGATATCCCTTAGTCGCCTCTTACGACACCCACGGGAAGAGAAGGGGCGGTGAGTTGTATTCTTTCTCCATCACCGCACGGATTTACCTTACACACCGACAGAAATACAACACCACCAAAAGGTAGTATTATTTTACTGTGGACTTCTTTAAGATGGTTACTTCCCAAGACGGGTGTACGAGTCACGTACAGTAATTTTGTATATCAGTAGAGCAAGCATAACCTACTTTAATCACGTAGATGTGTCTAAGAAATGCATCATATTACGTCATTGTATTAGGTATATAAAAACATTTACTTTTCTTAATAAATCAATGCTCATCATGCATTCAACAGTAACAGTTGTCTTTCTTCCTTCATCCTAATATCATTATGTAGGGGGTCACCCCTACAACGGGCGTTCCAATTTGAGTGGAAAATTCGGTATACCCTACCACTCTTGAAAGTGAAATGAAATAACAATAAAAATATGTTTTTTTTGTACAAACTTGTTGGACTTCTTGCATATAAGCATCCAAAGGGTCAATTTCGTCTTCTTCTTCTTTCTTCTCTTCAGCTATTTGCTTTTCCTTGCCTTCACCATCTTCACCTATAAAATTAATATAAAAGTGAAAAGGTTACCCTTCCATGTGTAATTGAAGAGGTTCAGTTTCTTTGAGATTTCAATAAAAATCAATATTTGTTATTATTACCTTCATCACCAGAGTCATCTTCTAACGACCACTTCTTGACTGCAGGCACTTGAATGTTTGTAACAATGCTACCTTTCTGAACTTCCTTCTTCGCAGACTCCAGTTCTTTGCGCTTACGTTCCGCACGCCAGCGTTCGATGCGGTCGCGTCGTTTCTGCATTTCAGCTTCCAATCTACTCTGTTCTTCTTCCTGTGTGAAAACAGATATGATTCAAACTATCTAGTTAGTTACATATAAGTACTGCATCAAATTATATTTCTCTTTACCAAAGTACATGCAGCTTGATTCTAATTTCGCATTTGGAACCACAGTCATATTTAAATCAAATAAATTTGTATATTAATGAATGGTTTAAAATGAGAACATCCTGGACAGTAGAGATACTAATTCATATCCATTTTGGCATCCAAGTCAGGAAGCTATGCCGGTTTAAATAACTTATACACTAGTTTTTATAACTTACATTACATACAAATGTTTGTTGTGGGGCTCAGCTGCTAATATAGAAAGTATTTTCGTACTGCAAAAGAGAGCTGTTCGCGCCATATATAATTTAAAGGCAAGAGAATCTCTTAGAGAAAAATTTAAAGAAATTAATATTTTAACACTGGCATCGCAATACATCTATGAAAATATAATATATGTAAGAAGAAACTATGACGCATTTGCAAAAAAAGTCAAACCCATAACTTTAACACGAGATTTAAGAACAAGCTTGCCGTTCCATGTTTCAGACTCCAAAAATCAAGAGGTTCATTTCTGGGATGTAGTATTGCATTGTTTAACAAAGTTCCCCAAGATCTGATTGAGCTTCCACTAACCAAATTTAAATCTCAGATTAAGAATACTCTTATGAATAAGGGCTATTATAAAGTTAATGATTATCTAAATGATCGTAATGCATGGACATAGTGTTTCTTGTAATTTCTTATTTGATGGGTATGAGTCAGTTTTGTAACAGTAGTATGGTACCTATCTAATGCCGCTTGCTATATACTAAATATAAAATTTGTTGTAACTATATATTATACCCTAAATAATGTAATGGAAGGTGACTTCAGAAGTATGTCTGAAGTCATTTTTCAACTTGACGACTCTGTATATATCAATACAGGGAGAAAAAAGCAGCCCTTGGTGAGTTTCTTGCCGGTTCTTCTCAGTACAAGGTCTCCCGCCGTAGTTTTGCGAACCGATGGCGTAGCTTCTTGACTTTCACAAGTGCTTGTAACAGCCTAGACTGAATAAATGACTTTTCATTTCATTTCATTTCAATGTAGTATATTAAGCTGTAGTGTAAGTTATATGATTAAGATAGAGTTGGATGTTAAAACATGTAGCAGACCTTCTTCATTGCATATTAAGAGCAAGCCCACAAGCTGCAGTTGAGTTTTCAATCATTTTGTATAGTATTGGCACAAACTAAGTGTTCCAGTGGCCGCCAACAAGCGACGGCGATCAGTGGCAGCATCTAGTGACTGAGCACCTAGTGAATCAATGTGCGCTTGCTCTTAATTACAAATTTTTTATTTATCTTTATTAAAAATTGATATGCAGGTACACTTGGTACCTGCATATTGATATTCTGTGTCATAGATTTCGATTCTCAATAAATATGTAAATATTTTATACAAAAATAATTAGATAAGTTTTTAGGAATACACAATTTCATCAATAAATCTTCAGTCTATGAACTAATTAAGATTCCTAGTAGATTCAAATAGTTTTTGCTTAACTATAAGGTTTTTCTAGACCTTAAATCTATTTCAGCTTACCAGTATAATTTTAAAAAGCTGAAAATATGATGGAATAGTTAATTTACATAGAATTCTGCTTTGAATGAAGAAGAAACTCCTTGGGCAAAATTAAATATCCAATAAAATTTGTTTCAGCATTGCATTTAGTGTAGGGGGATATATTATGGTTGGCAACCCAATAGTGACACTCCCTAATAATAAGACTGACAGATTCTTAGTATCAAGCTGAGCCAGGTTATTTTCACCATTTTTATATTAAAAAAAACAACAATATGTATAGAAACAATGGAACTATGTCCCTGAAGTAATTGATTTAAATGATAATGAATATTAACTGTAACAATTTAATGTAATATATAAAATTTTAACAATCTTTATATACTTGCCTTGTCTGCAGAGCCTATGTTATATTCCGACTCTGTTTTAAGCGTCTTCTCTTTCGATTTAGATCTATCTTTTTCTGGTGACTTCTTCCTAGATGACTTGCTACTTGTGCCATTTCTTTTGTCATCCCTTTTATCACTGTACAAATAAAAATGTTGTCATAAATATTTTTTACATTAAAATACAGTCACATTTCAAAGTCTAATGATACTAAATAAATAAATACTAATAAAATAATACTTTTTAACTATTAACAAAAAAAAAATATTTATAATTAAAATTTCTAAATGCAAAATAGCAAAACCTACAATGTCACACTAGGTATGGGGGCCGGAACTCACAAATGTGACCAACTGTGACAAGGATGGGGGGAGGGGTAAAAAATTCATGAAATTAGTGTGACATACTTAATGGATGACCCTTATTATGTAAGTACTATTGGTGGTTTATAGTTTTTGCTTTGCTTATTTAATGACATGGGAGTTTTATAATATTAGTAGATGTCACTGTCAGTAGGAACTGTACTTTGAGAGAACAAAAACCTAGATACCTATTGCACTTTAGTTAAGTGTAAATGAATATTTATTGACTAGCAAAGATGCTTCCTCAATAGTGTAATTTCTGATAAAAGATGACAACCAGTCAATATTTTTTTAACCGAAAAAGTGTACTTCATAGGCCCATGAGTTAAGACTTCACATTTTTTTGTTAAAAAGGCCTCTGTTTAACAAAGGGTACTTAATTCCATTATATGTAATTGAATTTCGGGGTAATTTGTAGGGGAGGGGGAGGGGGGCTCCCCCCGACCCCCTCGCCATAAAAGATTTTTGGCGGAAATGCAGTTTTTTTTTTACCTAACCTAAAAATTCATTAAATCTGGTTATATGTAGTGGAATTTCAGGGGGATAGGTATTAGGGAAGACCCCTCAGAGGGAAGGGTCGTTTTTTTTACAGAAATGATAATTATAAAAAAATAGAGGGGTTTTAAAGGTAAAACTGTACTTCCAGGGCCTAGAGGTGATATTTGATTTTTTTGTAAAAAAAGTCTCTATTAACGAATTTTTCTCTCTGGCGCTTCGCCGGCCGCTGCCGCGGCACGCTCGCTTCGCTCGCTCGGCTCGCGCGTTAAGGTCACAACACTAACTTAACCTAACCTAGTGTGAAGTATCACCACACAAGTGGCTCATTAGAGTCCAAAACTCGCACTACACTCGACTCTTGAGGCGATGGGACAGCAGAACTCGAGGCCGAAGGCTTTGAGGATGCCATGGTAGTCAGACGATGTTAATATCAACAGGAGTACGAAAAAGCTCTTATCTGCGACGAACACAAACACTGACTGACAGATCTCATTAATGGCGGTAAATTGTCACATTTTGACAATAGTACCAACATAATAAACTTATATTTACCATAGACAACGAGAATCATGTTATTTTTGCATAAAAAAATGGCAGCACTGATCAAAATTGACTCATAACCTACAAAAATATTAATTTTCAATAATTTTTTTCTCGAGTTCTATTCGTTTCCGCCAAAAAAGATTTCGTGTATGTGTTTTTAATAGTTAATAATTTGCGTGACAAAAATTTCAGCTTGCAACTCAATTACATATAATGGAAAGCTGAGCCTAACAAAGTATTATTCTTTGACGGCTGCTACCGCAGCGCACTCACGTACTTCGCTCAGCGCACGGGTTTTGGTCACAACAAAATCCTAATATAATCAAGTGTGAAGTGTCAACTCCTGGGCCCAGGAAGTACAGTTTAGCTAGTTTATGAGTGAATATTAAGTGAAGTAAATATTGTATTTTTATAATAATACTTCTTTCGGTCGCGATCCCTCTCTCTATCCCGTTTTGAATCACGATCTCTGCTGCGGCTCCGCTTCCTCTTGGATGACTTGGAAGGTCGATCACGGCTCCTAGATCTGGAACGCCTCCGTTTACGGTCTGGCGACGCTGATCTGCTATGGGACCGTCTCCGCTCACGTTCCCTGTCACGATCACGCCTAATACCAACAAAAACAGTTATCAGAGCACAACAATCGTGACATATTTATCTTTACGTACACCTTTCACGCTTATTTAACATTAAAACTTACCCACTACGGACCATGATATTCGAACATTCAGAGAGGTTTATCACTTAAAAAAGAATCGTTTATTTTAATCAAAATTTCAATTTCTCTAAACTCAAACTACTTTTTCACATCGCCATTGCGTCGTCACGCACATGTCAATGTCATTTTGTTTGGTCTACTTTTTTAAGGTTCTTTTTTTTTCAGGAAGGCAAAAAAACAATGCCCATACAGCCTACTCTTTAGTTTTCTTTGTTTTCTCTTTTTTTTTTAAATTAGAATGTGGGTGTGATGCACTTTGATGTTTCTTGGAGTATTTGCAAGAAGCTTATATACAACACTGGAGATTGCATGTAGAACTTCTGTATGAAGATGAGTTCATTAACCCCATGATATGTTTTTTATCTCTCTCACACACTATCTGAAATTACCATGTTAAATACAAGAAATTCCAATCAGAAAGTGAAAATAAACAGAACTATGCAAGATATCAATCAGTTTTACAATCTCCAGAAGTCCTACTCTTGTATTACTATTATAAGATGAGTGTGACAAATTCTAACCAACTACTTTGAAATCAATATTTAAAACTAAATAATAAATACGCCCTTTATTTCCCTGTTTGCTGGTTGCTACCATTTTGGTATAATAGCAACACTAATTAAAAAATCAACTGAAGAATAGCTCCGATCTGTCAAAAAAAATCTACCGCTTCGAATGTTTAGATTATTATTAAAAAGTGTTAAATTGTTCAATTTGCTATTTATAATATGTATTGTGTTGTGTGAGATTGCAGAAGTGTTTGGGAACCAAATTCCAGCACTAAATTTCACAGGTAAGTCTATTACATTACGCCAATACCGAAATAAACATATTCCTATATTTTTTATGTTGTAATCATAATAAAACGTTAGTATTTATAAATCATAGTGTCCTGAGGCTATAAATTAACGTTATTCTTGTTTTATTCACTACATTTGGTACCATATTCAGCAGTTTATTAAATTAAAATAATATAAATTTTGGTTTTGTAGGGTAACCATTATCACTACACTTGAGATATTTTGAGAAAGTTAATAAAATACATAAGTATTATTGTAAATAGTAATTATAAAGTTCAAAATATGAAAATAAGTTTATAATAAATACTGTAGTAGATCATGTTGATTAGATGTAGAAAACCTATTTAATAACAGCTATCTAGCAGCGGTCTTATACCTTTGTTTATGTTTCAGCTTCCCGAAAGATGTCATTAAAAGAAATTCTTGGTTGTCCATTATACTGTCACAAACGCTCTCGAAACGGAACCGCGAATGTGCTAGAGATCGAATTAGCCAGAGCACCGCGGGTCGCAATAGAAGTCGAGTAAGGCGGCTCATTCTAAAATGAGCCTTATGCAGTGCGACGTAAAGGAGAAAGTGCAACGATATCTGCACTTTTTTACAAGTTATGCGTGTTACTTGCGTAGGTATAAGTAGGTATTTCGTACTCGCGGGTGCTAGGTAATTCTCAATTTAACAGGTACTTTCTAGAACTTCGACTTTCGACGACCTCCGTGGTCGAGTGGTTTGTACGCCGGGTTTCATGGTGTCGCCGACTCGAGAGGTCCCGGGTTCAAATCCCGGTGGGGACAGATGTTTGTGTAATGAATACGAGCATTTGTACTCCAATCATGGATGTTTAATATGTATTTCTGTAAAAAAAAATATACATAAATATGTACAGTTTATGTATTCTATCCGTTACCCTAGTATCCCATAACACAAGCCTTATAGTACTTACTTTGGGGCTAGGCTAATTTGTGTGAGTGTTGGAAATATTTATTTATTTATTTACTTTCTAGAATGCATCGATCGGCGTATATAAGGGCGATTGGCGCCGCGCAGAGACAGTTTAGTTTCAACAGCGATTTCGGAGCGAATCCAAAGGCGATCAAAGTGCAACAAAAGTGTTCAAGTAAGATTGTTTAGAGACTTGTATAGTGAAATACAGTGTTTAGTGAGTGTTTTGTAATTAACATTGTGTGTTAATTGTGTGAACTGTGTGGTGAATAAAGAACTGTCAATCGTGAACTGGCATATAATTTCGAACCCGTTCTTAGTAAAAGGCATTTCTGGCGATTTTAAAAAGGGTTTGCATATTCTTTTTCGTTAATTTTTTTATAAACGTTTTTGACATGGCATAATATAAGACGCATCTAATATGAATAAAATGATTTTTGTACTTGTGAATTTTATTACTATTAAATAATGTGTTCCCAAGTTCCTATCAACTCCAACGCTTTGATTTATAAATTGTTTAAAGACGATACCAGTAAGTATGTATCCTAAACGTATATTCCAACATGGTCACCCTTAGAAAGAGATAACAAACATATGTGACGTCATTCAAGGCCATATTTTTTCACTTCAAGGTATTGTTTGCACTGCAATCTCCAGTGTTGTATATAAGCTTCTTGAGTATTTGGCACGAAATATATCGGATCAGTTTTCTCGATAAGCTTCTGTGAGGGTTTTTTTGATCTATTTGTCCTTGTTGGGAAAAGCAAAGGATTCTGAGTCTATACAGCCCTAACCATTTTTTTGTAGTTCTCCCTTTTCAGGGAAGGCAAAAGGAATTAGAAAATTCATTTTAATAAATAATTTTATTCTTTGGTGAATTTCAGATATTCTTTTTTATATATTGCTATTCGTATAAGATAGGAATATGTATATGTGTTTTTTTGGCAACTGGCTGGGAATGCTGCAGTTTTGGTAGATCTGAGTTAAGCCATCTATTAATTAAACAATCTGTAGCATATAAATGTCAGTCCGATGTAAGGATGTTCGTCAAATTCGTTATTTTAAGAAATCGATTCATAGCAATTCAATCCATCTTTGATTTATTAAAGTGGCGGCATTCTATGATAGCCGTTTGATATTTGTGTGTTCATGAAGTTTCTAAATCTAAATTTGAAATTAGTACTACATTTGAAAGAAATAAGTATTTGTTCTTCATTGTTATTAGAGACGAGCATTTAGTCATAAAATTTATCGAAACGGTAATTTTATGGTGAAGAATTTTAATTTTACAAAACTTAACATTCGGCTGTTTGACAGAATCTTTAAAGAAAATTAATTTAAATCATTGTTTAAATCCATACAAATATTATTAAAATAATGAAATGTATCACCCGGATGACTTAGGCATAGCTCCTCAATTTGTATACAATGGCCCATTTTATGACTGTACCACAACATCCTTTTGGGGAAAAATTTGTCATCTGGGGAAAATACAACTACAGAATCTGGCTGTAACTGTCACTGTCATTAATATCTGTCATGTCAGTTAGGTCAGATGAAGCTGTAAGCTTTACCGGTTGTTGCAGGTTATTTATAAATAAACATACAATAAATCCAACCAATACTTAGAAAATCCTTTTTATGTAATCATCCTTATTCATCCAATAAGTATTTACAATTTGAAAGTAAATATATAAACATGGCAGATGACGGCGAAAATGTAAGTTTTTCATTCAGTATACCACATCTCATATGTATAATGGTGTTTCCACATGAAAGATTTGATATTCCATAGAAAGCCGCCTTGATATACTGAGTCTGCTTTAACAAAGTAGCTTTATCATCTTTTGTTGTAAAATCAATATTTCAGGGGAGCTCCCATACAAGAGACGTATATTTTGCTCGATATTATAATATAGTGTCTAGTTTTGTATAGATTATGGTGCGGAACTCGTCGTCCGTGAGTCCGACTCGCACTTGGCTTACATTAGACGTCATCTCGTTTCGTTTTTTCACATCAAAGTTATCTTGAATAGTTTAGTACGGTCCAAGTCCATACTTTCATTGGACGCCTACATGAAATTGCGCTGCGACTACTGTTTTACATGATCAAAGTAGCCTCAAAGTGTTACCATAGGTATAATGCATCTTTATCAAAGCAGCCTTTGAGCATGTCAACGCAGCTTAAGTCTTAAAATACTGGTCAAAGTGCCTCAAAGGGTGTGCTAGCCAAAACTGGTCTTAAGAAAACCGTGTCCCATACAAACATTCCTTATCACCTGCGTTCCCATTGTTCACTCTGTTCTTGCTTTGTTTTGATCTTAACAGTAACCTAACCTAACCAATATTTGGCTAGGTGGAAGTTCTACAAAAATAATGTAAAAAAAAACAAAATACTGCACCCTTCGGTTACAAGAACCAAGAAAAGGTTTTAATTTTTATAAATTATACATTACAGGTCTCTGTTATGACTGTTAAAGAACCCTTGGATCTTATCAGGCTTAGTTTAGATGAAAGAATTTATGTGAAAATGAGAAACGAAAGAGAACTACGTGGAAAATTACATGTAAGTTTTAAAATTGTATTACTATTATTTTAATCAATATAAAAAAATGTTGTAGTACTAATATACCTTCTGAATGACTGCACCAAATTGTTTTTTTTTATGATTGCCATTGTCTGGACAATGTCTGTAAGTATCTATAAAAAAAAACAAAGTTTTCCTCGTCAGCGAATTTTGGCTAAAATTGACATAAATATTATTAATATTGTGCTGATGAAAATTTATTAAATATGTTATAATTAAAATCATTCATCATTAAGTATAATGATTATTGCCAGTCCACCTTTCTCGTTTTTGTTAAATACTAGTAATATTAAAAATGTGAAAGTTTGTATATTTGTTACCCAACTACATAAAAACTACTATATAGATGGATTTGGATGCTATTTGGTATGCATATAGTGGCTTGCACCTGGATTGTGACATAGGATACTGATTATCCAGGCAAAATGAAAGGTTCCTGTGGGATTCTCAAAAAACTAAAGTTAATGAAGATGAAGTTGCTGCTGGTATTTAATCTGTCTAAAATTAAAGCAGTTTCTGGTTTCAACAAATATTTCAATAGATGTGTAGAAGATTACATAGGTGTTGATGGATTTAAGATGAAAATGTATCAACCATTATTAATTACATAGGTTTTTATAAAAAATATTGATAAAGCATGGTCAGTTTTGCAATAACACACATGAAATATTGCAAATTTCCTGTTCAAGATATAAGATTTTAGTGTATCAGTACATTTTGCTAGTACAAATCTATGATCCTTTCTATTACTTAGCCTAAGAAATCACGGCACGATTGCCTCCTTCGCCCGCCGCGCCTGCGCGAGCACAACTCGCGTAGAATATCAAATGGTAGGTAAAACGAAAAATCGAAACTCACGGCGCGACTCTCGCGATCTTCCGCAAACGGTGCGTTCTGAAATCAAAGTCTGCAAAGGTCCGCAAAATCTGCCAAAGCCGCAAAGCCAAAGCCACAGAAAACTTTGGTAACGTGAGTTTTGAAATAAACAGTTTTCCCGCTGCCGCGGCGGGCATGCCAAAAAATCGCGCCGTGATTTCTTAGGCTAAGTAATAGAAAGGTTGATGATTTGTTACCTTTTCAGGCTTATGACCAGCACTTGAATATGGTACTTGGTGATGCTGAGGAGACAATTACTACTGTAGAAATAGACGAAGAAACCTATGAAGAGGTGTATAGAACCACAAAACGAAATATCCCCATGTTATTTGTCAGGGGTGATGGTGTCATACTGGTGTCGCCGCCAGTTCGTGTTGGTTTGTAGATAATAGATTTTAAGTGAAGCTATATTAAAGGCATTTTTTTTGCAATTATGGACTTTTATTTCCACCTGCAGTTTCACCCGCATGAAGAAAAGAAATAATTAATTTCCCAAACAAATTGTTTTATTCAGTTGGATAGGCTTCCAAATTATTCTAAAAGTAGTGCATTATATTTTTCTGAGTTATTAATTTTTCTATAATAATTTATCCCCATCTTAATCCGTGAAGGGTTTTAACCTCGTACTCACAGCACAGGTAGCATTTTGATTATTTCCATAAATTTTAAGATCATTGATATAAATTGGGAAAAGCCCAAAGGCCCAGTATTGAACCCTGGGGCATGCCTATAGAAATGGGTGCCGCTTCATTAACTACTTTCTGAACCCTAGCAGAAAGATAAGATGTATCAGACTTAGTGAACTATTTGATACACCATAATGCTTCATTGTATTTAACAATGTTATGTCATGGCTAACTCAGTCAAACGCCTTTGATAAGTCGCAAAAAATGCCAAAAGCGTCGTGTATACCCTCCCATAAATCAAAATGTGTTTGAAAAGTGCAATTCCAGCATCAGTAGTACTTTTGACTGGTGAGAAATCAAACTGTTTTAAATTAAATAGCTTATTTAAAAAAAGGGGTGCTAGTAACTGGTTGTAAATTATTTTCTAAATACTTAGCGCTGGTAATATACATACAGACCTAAAATAGCTGCATTTGTAATCATAAATTCATCATCATCAATACATTTCTTAAATATAATGGCCAGCTGAGGTGCAATGACAGTGATGATCGGTTTTATTATATATAGGTCAGGCCGCCATTTTTTGCTGATATGGCGCAGAAGTATTGTGTTAATGGCGTAGAAACTTCTACGCGTCAGTGACGTTGAGTAGCGTATAATAGTGACGAATAAATGTTAAGGTTGGCATACACATGCCAAAATATTAAGATTAAATTATGTTGTATAACGTAATTGCACCAATTATGGACACTTTAAGGATGAAAAGGTGGGTTTTTGCAGGATTATTCCTAATATATCAGGATTTTGTTTAAACATCAATGTTGAGCTTAATGTCCGTCTTTTTTCCTTTATGCTTATGCTGAAAAAGTTAGAAATAACCGCATAAAAATCGAGAGATATCATTAAAATATAAACACGGTTTTTTAAGCTAGTAATGGACAAGGAAAATCATTTAATGGACATCCAGTGATGAACATGCACTAAATATGGACATCTAATAATGAACACAATTTAATAATGGGCCCCCACTAATGGACCAGCTCGTTGAATTTAGAATAAGAAGTAGTTCCCTATACCTAAGTAAATAAAAACATCAACAATTTTATAATCAACTAGACATTTATTATATTTTTTATTTTTTAAAGCATTTATTTGCTAGATTTTAAATCTAAAGAAACTTTTTACTAAAAAAAAAATTGCACGCAGTCCAGGCAGCAAACGGGACTCGAAACTGCACCCTCCGCTATCCGGGCAGATGCACTGACCATTATGTTACCGTTCTCTTATTGGTCTGTGGTTACCGTGTTCTATGCCTTGCAGCCTACGAAATACAAGCTGAAATTACACGAATGGGTTTAGTTAGTATACATACATAGACTCTCGAAAAACATTACCCTCCTTTCTTCGGCAGTCAGGTAAAAAGTTAGTATAATAAAAACAAGTGGATACCTACCTTTATTTGGTGGCGTAGAGGAGGTGACGAATATCTACGCTACCATTGGCGTTGAAGTACCAAAATGGTGGCGTATTTCTACTTCTACACTATCGTCGCGTTGAGAAAACCACTTATATCTCTGTAAATAAAATATGATTTGAGTTGCATTATAGCTCCAAACATGCCTGTCACTTCTACTAACATGATGCACTATTTGTTTTTCGTGTAACAATCAAACTTAATTTTTAATGCACAAAAATCTTACCTTGAAAAAATTGTGTACACAAACTACACCAGACGTTCACACGTCAACTGTCAAAAATATAGCCGCTCGTCAAGCCGCTGTCCACTGATTACAGAAACTCAGTGTTGCCACTTCCCGATTTGAACTTCACCGATTCCTAAAGTTTAATAGAACATGGAGAATCGGTGGCGTTGACAAAAGTGGCGTATAAGTACAGTTTTTGACGAAAACTTATTTGAAATCATTTTCAAGGAAATTCTTAGGATAAACGTCGCTAAATTAAAAGCACGGATAGCTATTAATATAAGTATTCTTAAAGTATCAGCCATGTCTCAAAAACTGACATACTTTTTGCGACTACGATAGTTAAAGTGCACCTCTACCTCGGCGGATAGAAGTTTTTGTGTAATTTTACTACCTTTTTTCAGATTTCATTCGAAATATATTTTTTGTTTATTATCTGACTTGAAATAATCATAATGTCCACTTGAGTCACTTTGTTGCTTAATCCAAAGCCGTCATCGAAAATCCGATATCTATAATACTTTTCAAAATACTGACCGCGGAGAAAACAGTTTTCAAAATCAGCAAAAAATGGCGGCCTGACCCATATGTTGATATTCAACATAAATCCTGTCTTTTTCATATTCACTTAATATCACTCCCATTGTTGCCAATCCTGATCCAGTCATCTACTCCATGTAGTCCTGGAACCTTACTCACTGACAAAAAGGCAACACTACCAAAAAGTAGTGTTATTTTACTGTGATCTCCTGTAAGGTGGAGGTTATCTTCCCAAACGGGTGCCCCAATTTAAGCGGATAATCCGCTATGCTCTATCTCTCTTATTACGCTTACACTTACTAGAAGTTAAAATCGTTAAAATAATTAAGGAAGGTCACATTTTAATGAAATACCTGATAATATTCTTATCGAAAATATTACTGAAATCCTTTTCAGTAAGTACCTACTTACTTCCTTTAAAAAAAATGTTTCTAACCAAATTCCAGATAATCCAGCAAGATTTAATGCTACGATATGAGTAGATTTAAAAGACCACGTGAAGGTATTATTGAAGATATTGCTAATAAGTAATTACGTCTTTGTCGTGCACTCGAAAGCTGAGTTTGTCGGGGTGACGGCGGTGCATCAATCGAATTTTTCAAGTTATTCATTATTCTGTCTACGTCATTATCCGTTTATTGTATTGTTTAATCCTCCCTTGTAGAGAGCGCGATTATTTTAATGAAAGAAAGTACTTACAACTTATCTATATTGGTGTTTTAAGCAGTTCTTTATGACTTGAAATGATTATTACTTACCTATATAATGTTAACCCTTTAAAACCACAATGATAATAATTCCAGCTTGTAATAATATTTTTTATAGCTTTCATTTATTACCCATATTTTTTTTAATTTTGTCTGTTCTTTTAAATAGGTATGGTATGTTAAATTATATTTTTAGGAAATTCGTGAGAAGATTTTGTCTGAATTATTTTCTGTAGATAATTTTGTCTTAACTAAACAAAAAAAAAACTTCTTACTCACGTATTCACAAATTTAAATGTATGCAGAGACATTTCTTTGTAAAGTTAAGATATGAATTATAATCATAATAAGTCTATTCAATATCAATTATTATTATATTTATATTGCATATAAATGGTTTAAATCTAAGAAATATAAAAAACGAATAATAAGTAGGTACATAGTCTGAATTAGGATTGTACTGGTTTTCAGACAAAAATATCTTAACATAAATTTACTTTCAATAAACAATAGCACAATGAAAAAGGACAATAACAAAAACAAATAAACTTAATCTAATTTTATTAAATATGTATAATAAATTCATATTTAATTTTGAAACGGCCATAATTATAGTTCTCTGTATCTTCATATGGCATCATTTAAAGGGTTTCTTTTCTTGTAGGATTATTTTGGTGGTTTAAATATTTAGCCGATAAATATTTAGATTTAGCGTTTGTACAAAAATGGACTTTAAAACAGGTAAAATTTAGAAGGGAACACATGTTTAGTAAATATTTTATGAGGGAAAGCTATAGCCTTTCGTCTTTTGTAAGTAATATCAGGGTTGTATGTTAGTGCGGCATGCTTAGAGCGTTAAGGCGGCATGCTGCTTCATTAATGTCTACATTATATACAACTACCTAACTGTTGGCACCTTACAAGATTTATTAAGGAGATTAATGGGATAGAGAAATGTGCGGAAGGTGTAACCTATAAAACGGTTCGTTGAGCTCTCTCAAAAGTTAGAAATAGGGTTTTTAAAGTACTACCCAGGATGTAAATAATATGTTATCATGTACTGACACAGAGCAAAGTAAACCTATAAATTAATTGTGAATCCGTACTACCATGTAGTTTCTTAATACAATACAGTAAGATATGATTTTTTCATAGTGTAAATTGCACAAGTTATTTATGTAAATTAAGAATAAATCAATACCGCTTATTTGTTCTTTAAGATTATTTGCGTACGAATTAGTTTGGGTACCTAACTTACGATTTAAGGTTAGTAGAACGGCTCTATGATCCGTAACTGTGGCGTTAGTCACAAGAGTCGTTCAAGGAAATTATCATACGTTTCAATATTCCTGAGCAACAGAATCATTACACTCAGGGAGAATGTTAATGTTCATATCTCCTATTAATATTATATTTTTAAAAGGACGATTAATGTCCCAATAATTCAATAAGTGAGTGAATAAAATTATTGATATTTTTAAAGGATGGTGGTTCATATAAGGCAAATATTGCAACATCTGAATCGATTTCAATTAGTAACCTATTACGGTCCTGGATTATTGGGTCCTCTATGAAGATAGTTAAATAATTTCGAGCATAAATTGCTACGCCATCATTTTTAGTTGTAATTATTTTTTCTGCTGTAAACTTTTTAACCAGGTATGAGCGGTAGGTGTATATGCTCACTAAGCCATCAACCTGTTAAGACAATAACGTCGCAATCTATATTTAATCTTTATTGGAACACTAAAATTATCTTTTCTTTAAGGATACTACCTACATAAGTTTTATGTTAGTATTGTTAGTGGACTTCTTTATGACGAAGATACTGTTTGCACATTT